AAGCTCCTGGAAAGGCTTCCCTCCAGCAGGACTGGGAGCCTGTGGAGCCCGAGGCCTCTGAGGGGCCCCCCTGCACCCCCCCGGTGCCTGAGCCTCTCCCCGAAACCACTCTCATTCCTTTAGCCACCCTGAGGCCCTCCCCCAGGCACTGGACCAAATGAAACAATAAAGCTGTTTGCAGAGAAAAAGAAAAAAAAGGCACACTTAAGGCATTTTAAATTACATTATCAAAATATATTTAGTAATAAATATTGTAATAAAAATAGATTTTTGTTTGTAGAAATATATCCTTGGACAGCTTATAGCAATACTTGCAAACTCATCTCATTTTAAGATGGCATATTTTGTAATAGTCATATCCCTTTGTCATATTTATGGCATATACGTATATATTTTCCCAGTTTTTAAATATAGCTCGATTTTATTTTTAACTTATTTTGAAAGTTGGCATTAAGTAGACCTGAGCTAGACTTTCCATTAAAAAAAAAAAAAATATATATATATATATATATATATATATATATATATATATTGAGTTTTTACAGAGAGGAAGGAGAGAGAGAGAGAGAGAGCTAGAAACATCGATGGGAGAGAAACATCGATCAGCTGCTTCTTGCACACCCCCTACTGAGGATGTGCCCACAACCAAGGTACATGCCCTTCACCGAAATCAAACCTGGGACCCTTCAGTCCACAAGCTGACACTCTATCCACTGAGCCAAACCGGTTTCGGTGACTTTCCATTGTTTTTATACTTACAAAATGAGTGAAATACTCAGTTATATTTTTCTATGCCTTTTTTTTTTTTTTTTTTATATCACTGGGATTTATTTGGGTGAAGGCAGGATCCTAGCTGAAATTTACCAAAGTAACCAATATTCCAGCATCCATTGCTAAACAATTCCTCCTGCTCCGAAGCGGAACTCTGACCACCAGAAGCAAGGAGGTTTGAGAAGTTGGCGGGACCCGGCAGAGCAGGTCCAGGCCAGACGAGGCGGTCCCCTCACCACGGTGGCCGAAGCTCCCAGGCCAACCGGGGAGAGGCAAGCCACGCTTCCGGGTGATGGGGGGCGGCTGGCCAGAGCACCGAGGGCCCTTCTCCTGGCGGGCCCACAGCCCCGAGAAGGCTGGGCGCTCTCGCCAAGAAGCACCTGGGCACTGGCCAGCCCTGCCAGGCAGATCTCACCCCGGAGTCTGAACAGATGTTCCTTGAGTCGTCTGCAACGACCCCCAAGGCCAGTGCCCCATGGACTGTCCCTCAGCTTCATCTCCTCATGTTGGCAGAGGTCCCCGCCTTTGCCTTGTGACTTTGAGACTCTCCTTCCCTGTCTGTGACCCTCCCTTGCACACACCCCCTCAACACCCCCCTCCCACCCCCTCCTACCCTCTCCCACCCCCTTCTACCTTCCCCCCCACCCCCCGCCGGGCAGAGGTGAAATCTGGAGGGAAGGGCCCGGAGGTGAGCAGAGGGCCTGGGCCACCAGCCTGTCACTCCAGTGACCCTCCTGAGGGCACCACGCCCCTCGATGCGGTGCTCTCCTCCAGGGCAGAGACCAGAGCTTTGAAGGAGTCCTCCTCAGCCATGACCTGGGCTAGAGGCGCTGGGATCCCAGGGAGAGCCGGAGTCGGGGCCCAGTCAGAAGGCCAAGGAGGGATAGGGGGTGGGAGGAATGAGAAGGGGTCTTCTCTCTGGGTGTGAGTGGCCACCCCGCTCCAGGCTGGACAGCAGGGGAGAAGCCAGGGCCTGCACTGCTGTTTGTGTGTGTGTGTGGGGGGGGATACAGATACAGGACGGAAGAGGGGGCAAGCGAGCACAAGAGGGCCAGGGGTGAAAATTAACTTGTTTTTGGAGTCTGATTTAGTTCTTACAGTGGAGGGGTGTGAGGTGTGTGCAGAGATGAGCCTCTGTCCTCACAGGAGGCTGGCCCTGAAGTGGGAGGGGGAGGGGAGGGAAGGGGAGGGGGGTGCCAGGAAGGGATGGGTTACGCTGCAGCTTCCCTGCACCCTGGAGGTTCGGAGGGGCCGTCTCGGAGAACCAGGCCGCCGGGCAGAGGCCTCTGGGTGCTCCTCCTGGGGCTGCAGCCACGGAGCCTCTCACGGCTGTTCTGTGGGGACACAGGCCACGGAGCTGTGGTCTCCTTTCCGGAAGGCCCTGGAGGCATCAGTGAGAGAGGAAAAGGCACCGTAGGGACCACGAGCCCAGGCTGCGGCCTTCATCTTACGGAGGCGGAAACGGAGGCTCCGAGTTCATGGTTCGCCAGGATTAGAACCAGCTGGTCCCGGGGCAGCCAGGGGCACGAGCCAGGTCCTCCTCCTCCTCCAACCGCTGGGACTTCCCCCCAGGGCCAAGGCGGGGTGGGTCCCTTGGAGCCCACTCCTCACCCCAACCTGGGCTCCCCACCCCAACCCTGGGCCAGGAAGAGCCAGGCCGAAGGCGGGACGCCTCTCGGGACTGATGGTGGCTTCGGAGCGAAGGGGCCCCTCAGGACTGTGGTCCCTTCATGCCTACCCGTGACCCCCTCCACCCCTCCCACGTCTCAGACTCCCCACCCCCAGCCCCAGCCCCTGGTGGTCTCTACGCTTCAGAGTGCTCACCGCCGTATCTTTTCCCCTCTCACCTTTCCTGGAGTGAAAGCTCCACACAGCAGGGGGAGTCCCGTCTCTCTTCCTTTTACTCCCAGCTTCCAGGCCAGTGCAACTTTGGAAAACTCCAAGTGCTTTTTGGTTTTTTGCTTCGAAAAGTGTTGTAATGACTATCTTCCTTTGCTGGCCTCGGTGGCACGAGCTTTCTCCTCTGCCTGCGATGCCCCTGCCCTCATTTCCTTTGCTCACACGTCTCTCAAAGCCCAGCCCAGCTGCTCCTCCAGAAAACCAGCCTGAATGCTCTGCAGGAACATCCAGGCTGGGGCTGGGCGCCGTCCGCCTGGGGCCTGGCGCCTTGGCCGTGCGGGCCCCCGGGACCCTCTCCCGAGGGGGAGCGCTCCCCCAAGGTGCAGAGGACGGCCTGGAGCAGAGCGGCAGGCGGTGTTCAAGCCCCAGAAGCCCCAGCTCCAGGCCTGGCAGGCCGGGGCGGGGAGGGGACCAGCTGGCGGGAGGAGCCGGTTATCGATGCTGGATGCTGCCCAGAGCCCTGGGGAAATCAGGGTGAAAGGCAGCCATCCTGCTGAGGAGGAGGAGGAGGAGGAGGAGGAGGAGGAGGAGGAGGAGGAGGAGGAGGAGGAGGCCGGGCCCTTGCTTATCAATCAGAGGGGCCGGGCTGCACGGCGGAGACCACCCCCGAGGCCGGCCTGAGTTCTGGATGCCTGAGCTTGGTTTAGAAAACACGGGAAACCCTCTGTCTCGGCGCTCCGGCAGCGCCAGGTGGTGGTGGGAACAGGTGTGCGCCGGTATCCTGGCCTGTGGAAGCCCTTCACCCCCGGGGCCAGGGCCACAGGGCCCACACTGTGCGGGTCGGGCAGTCTCTCAGCCTGCCAGCCCGGGCCTGTGGGCAGGGGGAGATGAGCAAGCTGGCCCAGGAGGATGAGCGGGCAGGGCGGTGGCTAGAGCAGGGGCACAGACAGGGAACCTCAGACAGGGGAGCAGCTCCAGGCGGGGATCCACCTGGGAGGTAACACAGGGCTGACACAGTAGGGGAAGGGGGGTGACCCCTGCTGGCCCCCCCACCCCCCACCCCAGCTGCCCTAGCAGAAGGGGCATGCTGGGAACCCACCCCCTCCGTCTGAGCAAAGTGAGGTCAAAGATTAAAAACCCCAAATCGGATTGGGGCTCCTGCTCCCTCTTAATGAGGTTCGTTATCAGCTGCTCTATCCCTGTAAAGCCTGGCCGGCAGGACGGATTAGGGGCGGGCCCTCAATCTGGCTGCCTCCTGCTCCAGGCTGAGCCGCCAGCCCAGGGCCCCTCTCCCTGCGAGGGAGCTGGAGATGCAGGATGCCCAAGAGCCAGGCAGGTGCCTCCAGCAGGACGGAGAGCGCCTGGGCGGGTGTTCAGGGGAGACGAGGGTGGAACTGCACCTCCACTGCGGCTGCCTGGTGCTCCGGGGACTGCTGGGCCCGGAGCACCCAGAGCTGGGGGGACGTTTGGGGAGGGCCCCTCGAGAAGGGGCTGTGATGATGGGGTGCTGTGTCCCCTACAGGCCAGCAGCTCGGTGGGCCTGGGGGAATCTGGTCTCACTGGATCTCTCACGACAAGAGTTCTGCACAGTCTGCCCAGACCAGGACACTGGGCCTCCCAGTAGCAAGTGACAGGACACAGGGGCGCTTGCCTTAACAAAAATAATTTATTCCACAGCCCTCGGCAGCAGTGGGCAGAGTGGGACTCGGCATGTGCGGGTACAGCGTCACCCGCCCCTCTGACCCTTTCACCTCTCACTCCCGCACTCGAAGATTAGCATCTATTTTGAAAATCAAAATCAAGGAAGAACCAGCTCCCACAGAGCTGAGCCGAAGGAAGGAGAGCCAAAGAGCACACGTGAAGCTTGTTCACGCTACCTCCCCCAGCTCAGCCCCGAGTAAGGCACTATAGGTCCCCACACCCCCAACCTCAACCCCACGCGGCCCCTCACCAGGTCCCGCTAAGCCAGCCGCTCACCCCAGCCCCTCCACCGTCACCCAGCAAGCCCCCACACCCCAGCCCCAGCCTGTGCCCTCCCTGCAGCAGGCCCTATGGGTCCCACAGATGTCACCTGGGAGGTCACAGATTCCACAAGCTTCCAGTCCCTACGCTCAAGCCAAACCCCCCAGCCGGGAGGTCTGAGGGGCCGAGGCTGGGCAGGCCACCAGGGCCGGAGGTGGTCCTTCCTTCTCGGGTGCGAGGGCCTTTCGTATCCAGAAGGGAGCGGGGTGGGTGGGGCCCTGGGGTGTAGGGAGGACTCCTGCTCCAGCCCACTCAGCCCGGGGACCCTCCTCCGATGGGAAGCCTTGGAAACTGAGGCTCGCTTGCCCCCATGTAGGGCCAAGACCCAGCAGGAGACATTGGAGCGGCAGCAAGAAGGAGGCGGGGCTTCAGAGAAGCTGAAAGAGAGGAATGAGGTGCTGAGAAGCCGAGGACAGCGCCTCCCCCCCTCCCTGCCCAGGGCTGCCCCCCCCCCCCCCCCGCCTCCTCTGTGCTGTCTGAGGAGCCTGGACCCTGCACCTCTTTCTGTCTCGGGAACATCCCTTCCCACAGAGACCAAGGAGGGTTCACTGGGGCAATGGCTCTCCTGGGACTCCCGGGGCAAAGAGCTCGGCGGGGAGGAGGCAGGGGACCGGAGGAGCCCACGGGGAGCAGCCCCCTGTCCTGCCACCCTCCCGGGGGGGACGGGTCAGGCTGTGGGGTGGCCGGCATGGCCCTTCAGGGCCCTCATCCTGGCCCGGAAGTAGGTGTACATGGCCAGCAGCCCCATGAAGGACAGGGAGTAGAGCACCACGCAGAGGCTGACGTCCAGGTGCGAGAAGTCCCCCTCCAGCACCTGCAGCCACTGGCCCCGGCCTCGCAGGGCCCCGGCCTCCGGCTCCCGCCGCTCGGGGCTGCGGACCACGCGCCTCCGCTCGGAGGGGTCCCCGGGCAGGTCCTCGGCCGGGAGCTCCGCCAGCAGCCCGGCTCCCAGCTCCCGCTCCGCCAGGGGTTCCTGCCCTTCCGGCTGCTCCCCGCTCTCCCTCCGGAGACCCGCTACGTGCTCAGGAGGCCCCTGCTCCGGCTCCGCCCCGGGCACGCCGGGGCCAGCCTGCACCTCCGGGGGGCCGCTCACCCCGAGTCTGTCCGCTAAGGCACCCAGGACGACGGTCCCGGGAAACACGGCCCCTGGGCCCACCCTGCTCTCCGCCGCAGCGGGGCCCAGAGTGGAGTTCCCGGCCGCCGGCTCCGGCTGGGCGGTGGCGGCCATCCTCAGCGCTCCCCGCCGGGGCGGCTCCGTCGCAGGAGGGTCCCTGACGATGTTGCTCCAGGAGAAGTGGGTTTTGAAGAAGCTGAGGGTGTTGCCCAGGTCCCACACGGGCGTCCCCCGGAGCTCGTTGTGGCAGGGGGAACAGAGTTCCCGGGGCGGCCACTGCACCTTGGGGAACTGGGGGTCCTCGCTGGGGGCCCCTGGCGGGACAGAAGCACACACAGGTTGGCGGGGATGCTGGTTCCCCCCCCCCCCCCCCGAAGCCCAGACCTCATTCTCCCATTCGGAACGCCAGCCCCCCATCTGCAAAAGAGGGCCCAACTCGAGGAGGGGGTGTGAGAGGAGCTAGCACGGGGCCTGGGCTCCCCCCGGGTGAGGGGAGTCCTCCCCACCCCTCCAGTTTCCCTTCCAGTCCTCCCCATATTTTTTAAAAATTTTATTTCTATTGATTTCAGAGAGGAAGGGAAAGGGAGAGAGAGAAACATCAATGAGGAGAGAGAATCATTGATCGGCTGCCTCCTGCACGCCCCCTTCTGGGGATCGACTTGCAGCCCGGGCATGTGCCCCTGACCAGGAATTGATCCCGGGACCCTTCAGGCAGATACTCTATCCACTGAGCTAAACCAGGTAGGGCTCCTCTCCCCATGTTATAATTTCTCCCTTTGTCAACCTCTCAGCTGGTTTCTCCCCCTCTCCCCAGTCTTGGAAAGACCTGGCTTGCAGGCTTCGGTTGGTCTGCCAGTATTTGTCTTTGCCATTTTCTGAAATTCCCCAAGTCTTACACAGGGAAGATAAGTTACTTTTGTAATTAAGTGGAACACTTTTTAAAAGAAGAGTTGGTGGCACATAGTAATTCCACTGCAGCCCTTTGGGGTGGGGGGGAGTTGGTGGGAGTTCCCTCCCCAGGTGGGCTCCACGGGGTGGGTGTGGGGAGGCCTGGATGGGAAGAGGGTGAGGAGTTCCCTGCCTCCCAGGCAGCTGGGGCCCCAGGCAGGGCCGGGCCGTGGGCAGAACCCCCACTGGGCCCCCGCTGAGCCAGAGGGCCGCTCGGTGTCACCCGGGGAATGCCGATCGCCCATCCCTAGTGAAGGAGGCACCGCGCCAAAGGGCTTCACAGGAAAACAGGAGCTGCTGGTCAGAGCGAGGCCTCGGCCCTGACCGGTTTGGTTCAGTGGATAGAGCATTGGTCTGCGGACTCAAGGGTCCCAGGTTCGATTCCGGTCAAGGGCATGTACCTTGGTTGTGGGCACATCCCCAGTGTGGGGGTGTACAAGAGGTAGCTGAGGAATGTTTCTCCCTCATCGATGTTTCTAACTCTCTATCCCTCCTCTCCCGTCCTCTCTGTAAAAAATCAATAAAAGATATTAAAAAAAAAAAACAAAAAACAAAGAATGAAGCCGCAGAGGAGACATAGAGCCAGATGGTTATATCGGGGAGAGGCGGCAAGTAGAGAAGGTTCCAGTGAGAAGCGGGGAGCGGGCCTTGCGAAGTGAGTGCCCGGCCTGTAACTCCCCTCCCATCACTGATCTGTTGTAACTGAGGGGACCCTCCATCCACTACCCCAAAGAGAGGGTAGGGAACGGCCTTCCTCAGGTCCCTCGGAGAGAGGCCCGGCTCCTGGCCCACCAGCAGCAGCTGAGCCTCCAGGGAAGCCCACAGAGGTCACAGGGCGAGAGGATCAGACGGAGCATTTGGTGGCAGGGCCGGGGCGGGGAGGGCAGGGTGGGAGGAGAGACAGGCACGTGCCTTCTTTTCAAAGTCCCCCAGGAGGCCCCAGGAGAACAAGACCAAGTGCAGCCCCTGCACCACCACCTGCTCGGGCAGCGCCTCTCCCCTCCCCTCCCGGCTGGGCCTTGTCCCCGCCCCGCCCCCTGGGCCGTCTGCCCAGCCATGCACACTCCCCTGTCCCCGCAGACAGGCCCCGGCTCCCTCCCCCCTGCCAGCCGCTCACCCCGAGACAAATGCTTTTGCCTTGTGGACCCCTCGGACTCCTGAGCCGAGGGAACAGAAGCTCTGCCAACGTGGGAACTCAGCAGGCCAGACCTCCCCGTTCCCCACACCCGCTCCGGTGAAATCAGTCCTTCTTTCTAGAAAGAACCTGGTCTTTCTTTTCCAGCCCTTTTTGTCATTAGGCCCCTCCCAGGGGGGTGGGGGGAGAAAAGCCCAGCGCTCACTTTCCTGCTGGTCTGAGTAAGCGGCCAAGAGCCAGAAAGCAGAATGGGGAGACAGGACAGGGACCCGCCAGGCCGGAGGGCAGGGCCCTGGTGCAGGGGAAAAGGAGCAGGTCTTAGAGGGTCCGAGCCTCAATGTCCTCATCCGGAAAATGGGTGTGATGATGCGGACATACAGGGCTGGCAGAGCACGCCGACGGCTCTGCGTGTGAAGCGCTGTGCCCCCCGCGGTGCTGCTCCCCCGGGGACGACAGGTGTCCCTTCTCCTAATTCTGGTCCAAGGCCCCCGCCTCCTCCTCCCTCCGCGGGTGCCGCCGGGCACGGGGGGGTTGGGGGGGTCCTTCCTCACCTGCGAGGCGGGCGTTGACCTTGTTGTGGCTGGACCACAGCCAGAGGACGGCGCTGTCCCGACTGCCCACGCGGTGCATGGAGGCGGCAGCCATCTTCTCGAAGTGGCCGGCGCAGTCCCGGCAGCCGAAGAAGAAGCGGACGTAGCCCCGGATGGCCTGCAGGACCTCCTGGGCCTTGGCTGCGGGGAGGAGATGCCATTCACAGGGGCCCTTCGGACCGTCTGCCCTGCCGGCCCCACCCCCCTGCCCTCCACTGCCCACGTGGTCACCTCTGCACAGGGACCCTACACCCTCTGCACAGGGACCCTACCTACACCCTCTGCACAGGGACCCTACACCCTCTGCACAGGGACCCTACCTACACCCTCTGCACAGGGACCCTACACCCGCTGCACAAGGACCCTACACCCTCTGCACAGGGACCCTACACCCTCTGCACAGGGACCCTACCTACACCCTCTGCACAGGGACCCTACACCCTCTGCACAGGGACCCTACACCCTCTGCACAGGGACCCTACCTACACCCTCTGCACAGGGACCCTACACCCTCTGCACAGGGACCCTACACCCTCTGCACAGGGACCCTACACCCTCTGCACAGGGACCCTACACCCTCTGCACAGGGACCCTACCTACACCCTCTGCACAGGGACCCTACACCCTCTGCACAGGGACCCTACACCCTCTGCACAGGGACCCTACACCCTCTGCACAGGGACCCTACACCCTCTGCACAGGGACCCTACACCCTCTGCACAGGGACCCTACCTACACCCTCTGCACAGGGACCCTACACCCTCTGCACAGGGACCCTACAACCCAGCCTGTCCAACGAGGTGCCCAGGGTCTCCCTCCACCGCCCGAGGGTCACTTTAGAGCTGACTCCATCTCTTCCCAAACTCCTAAGCCCCGTTCCTTACCTCTGCCACTGACCCAGGCCCCGTCACTTATCAAAGTCCCAACTTGTCAGCAGGACACGCAGGCTCCTTGTGAAGGGGCCAGAGAGGGAGTCGGGGGCCAGAGCGCCCACCCCTCAGCCCCTCTGCCCCGTGGCCCCCGCTTTAGGCTTCCTGTCCGACTTGCTCCCATTGCACCTCATCCCTGGGGCTTGGGCCAGGAGTCCATCCTGATCTGTCAGCACATCCTCCAATGTGTCTCCCCCTCTCCACCCTCCCCATTCCCCCCTACTGGGCCCTGTGGCCTGGCATCAGCACAGGCTTGATTATTCCCCCCACCCTCCTGCTCTGACTCTGGGCTCCTCCCTGAAGATATCAATGCTCCCCCCTCCCACCCCCCTACCAGCTAGTCCTGTACCCTCCATATCCCTGAGGGCTGGAGGCAGGGAAGTGGCCTCGGGCTGTTCCTTCCTGCTGCACCCCCCCCCGCCCCCCCGCCCTTCAAAAGGCCTCACCCTCATCCACTGGGGCATCGGCACGACATCAGCACGCTGGATGCCACCCTTTGGGTCGCTGAGGGCGGGGGGGGGGGCGTGGAGCAGCTGCACAGTTTGGGGAGGGAGCAGGGCGGGGGGGGGCGTGGAGCAGCTGCACAGTTTGGGAGGGAGCAGGGCGGGGGGGGGGGCGAGGTGCCCCCAGCTCCCGCTAGAAAAGGACGTTTCAGTGGGAAGCAATAAAACTGTTCAAAGCCATGGCATCAGCCACGTGAACTGTGAACAGACACAGTTCTTTCCTTTACAGGAGTCTAGGAGATGGAACCACTCGTTTTCCATGAAGACTGAAAATGAAGCAAGCTTATGGCTCCAAGGAAGCCAGGGAGAAGCCTGACGCCTGAGTTTGTGGGGCTCCCCCCCCCCACGTCGCCCCCCAATGGTCCCATCTGGCTGTGTCAGAATCCCCTAGGGAGGGGCCCGCAGCCGGGAGCCAGTGGGGGCAGGACAGGGCCAGGCTGAGGCCTGGGGGTGCACGGGCCGCGGACTCACCTGCTTCCTGAGAGCGATCCACGTTTTGCCGCGTGGCCTGCACGGTCAGGAAGTGGAAGAGGACCCACAGGGAGCAGGGGAAGCCCCGGAAGTGTGGCTCGCTCCCCTGGCAGCCGACCCAGTTCACCTTCTTGGCAATCACAACGCCCTGAGGGACACAGAGGTTGAACGTGAGCGCACACGGGGAGAAGGAAAAGGATGGCTGGAAGGTCTGCTCACGACCCTCAGACCAACGAGCTCCCTCTCCCAGGCTGCCAGCTGGAGGGGGGCATGTCCCTGCCTGGACCACACCCACCAAAGGGGCATCAGAGCTGAAAAGCTGAGACACACAGCAAGCCACGTGCTCATTCTACTTCCAGCTTCTCCGTCTGAAACGAGGGGCTGGGCTGGAGGGTTACTGCCCAGCTTCCACACCCTCCGAGTCTATGGCTCTGCCCTCTGGGGCTGCCCCGGCCCACCTCTGCAATCGGCCCATCTCTGCAATCGGCCCACCTCTGCAATCGGCCCACCTCTGCAATCGGCCCACCTCTGCAATCGGCCCACCTCTGCAATCGGCGGCGTGAGCGGCACCCCCCGGAGAGGCTCAGAGGAGCCACGCTGAGCGCTGAGCGAGCAGCCCCGGGTGCGTGGAGGCCACAGGGGGCGGCAGCTAAAATCTGTCACAGCCCGTGTCTCACCATCGCTTTTAAATCCCAACCCAACCACTTATGGGACAAGTGACTTCGCCTCAGTTTCTCCATCTGCTAAATGGGGATGAATGATATCCACCTTCAATTAACGCTGGGGGATTAAGATGTGCATCGAAAGAGCTCAATAGCAATTTACCAATTATTAATGGGAAGACCCAACTAAGATCACAGATTCCTTCCTGAATGCAAATGGGTAGAGGTCAGAGGTCAGTGTTACCCTTCCGCTCCCCCATCACAGGGCTGGGGGAGAGGATCCTCCCTCGCTGCCCACACTCACCTCCTTCCTGCTTTCCAGGGCAGTCTGGAAGAAGCCGTAGGGAATTTTCTTCCTCTGCTGCTTCTGGAGCCAGTCGTTGACGGAGTGCAGGAAGTTCTGGACCAAGGGCTGGCCGGGGAAGTACTAGGGGAGAAGCAGGTGCAAGCTGGAGAGGAGAAACCGTTCCCCAGGGCCCCCAGCCAAGTGGGCCAAGGCGGGAAAACATCTGCCTAAGACACAGATGTGGCTCCTCACCACCCTGGCTCTGGGCGCCTGGTGAGGGGAGGAGCGAGGCTGGGGCTCCTGTATGGACCCCTGACCGCACGCTGCCACGGGGCAGAGGGCTGCAGGGAACCCTGGGGGCCTCCCGCGGGGCAGCTGACTTGCTGGCTGACCGGCCGGCTGGGCGAGGCTGGCACACAGCCTGTCATCTGTATTCCGCGGCTGCCAGTGGGACGAGGCTGCCCACGGGCTCCTAGCCAAGATCCCAATCTCGATGGCAACTCCCAGGAGTCTCTGAGGAACACGAAAAGCTGCTCCGACAAAAAGTCAGCTCAAATCTGATTAGTATCAGCAGTTTAAAGCCACAGGGACCCCAGGGAGGAGGATAGATGTGTGTGTGTGTGTGTGTGTGTGTGTGTGTGTACGTGTGTGCAAGTGCATGTGCACAAACGCACAGGGGCCGGGGTGGGAGCGGGGGGCACGGGGAGCAGGTCAGGAGGACAACACCGAGGAACCTGCAGAGGGAAATGCGGGCGAGGAGAGCTGTGTGAGCGAGGAAAGGTCCTGGAGACGGGAGTAATCACTAAACAGGAGAGCCTGCGCACCGACCCGGTTTTCCTGGAAAACTATCCCCTAATCTCATCACCCCTCCTGGTCTGGGCCCGTCCGTCCCCAGAGGGAGCAGAACCAGGAGGAATCCTGGGCTCAGACAGGCTGCCTCGTCAGCTCACACAGCTCTGGCTCTCAGCACAGATTTACAGCCTAGAGTCCGCGCCCCTCCCTGCCCTTGCCCGACATCGGGCCTGGAACCTTCCGCCTTCTAAGGCCAGGATGTCAGGAGGAAGGATGAATTAAGGGGCTCAGCTACAGGGAGGCCCCCTCTCTGCTGTGAGCAGGGAAACCCTGGTGACCACACGCCACCCAGTGGCCAGTCCTGCACACACTCACGTGAGAGAGCAGGGAGCGCCCCAGCTCAATGGGTCTTCCCTCCTGCCAGGCACAGCGGGAGCACGGTACCCCGTCATGCTCTCGGTGCACGTGGGAGGTGAGGGCATGGGTTGGATGACACGAGGGTGCACGTCTCAGCTCGGCTGCCCACCGGCTGGAGGGCCTGGGACAGGTGCTCTCCTCCCCTGAGCCTCATCCCCTCTCTGAGACGGGACCCTCACCGGGTGGTTAGCTATGGGAACGACAGAGGAGCTGGTACACAAAGAGCGCTTCGCAGAGACTAGCACCCTGTCCGAGCTCACGAAACGGCAGCTGCTGCTACGGTCACTGCAGGCAGGGCCGAAATACTCGAAATACTCGTAGTCTCTGGGGGCGTCTCCAGGGGGTGTGGGCTGGCTCACGTGGGCCCCGGCTCTCAGTCCTGCACAGCCCGCTCCCCTCTGTGCTGCGGGCAGCCCTGTCCTCTCTGAGGCCTGTCCTGGCTTTGGGCAGGGAGGGGTCCTTCATCCCAAACTCATTCCCAGCTCCGGCCAAGGGAGGGAGCTCTGCCGGGGGGGCCATCGAGAGGGTGCTGTCTAAGCCTCTGCCCGACTCCAGCATGTCCCGGGCTCCCTTCTCCCCTCCCCTCTGGCTGCAAACAGTCCCCCTGGGGGCCAAACAAGACTTCATTTCCCTGGTCGGTCCTTCGTGGAGGACCACACTGGGGGTGAGGGGTGCTGGCTCTCTCTGAGCGACGCCTGCGAAGCACCCTGGGTGTCAGATCCGGCGCTGGTCCCCTTCAGAGCCTGACTGCTGCCTCAGCACCCACCGCCCTGGGTGCCGGGTCTGAGCTCCTGGGTGCGGGTCTGTGGGGCAGCACACAGAACCACTCAGGGCTTCCTGCCTCCGATTCTCTGGGCCAGCCACCCCAGGCCTCCGCGACGTGGGGACCGAGCAGCTCCCAGGGCCTCCGGGGAACGGCCTCTGTCAGCAGGACGGGCTGGAGAACAGGGCTCAGATGGTGGGGCCTCGGGCAGGGACAGTGACAGCACTGCGATGAGTGCTGGCGACCTCACGGGCCCTCCGTGTGGTCACGCGCGCGCGTGGCTGAGCCAAGTGAGCGGAAGGCCAGGCTGGCCAGGCGGGCAGAGGGACCAGACTGGCAGGCGGTTCCCGAGGGAGAGGTGCAGGTCACCCCTAGAGGTGACAGCCCCGGCGGCCCACGGACCTGCACCCAGCAGCTCAGACCTGGCGCCCAGCGCTGAGGGTGCCGAGTCAGCAGCCAGGCTCTGAAAGGGACCAGAGCCCACCCAGATCTGACTCAGCCCCCTCAGCGGCCAGAGCCAGGGGCTGAAGCAGGGCACATGTGGCAGATACAGAACCAGAGGGGACAGAGGGAGGGAGCAGCAGGCAGGTGCAGAGGGAGGAGGCAGCCCACATCGCACCTGCACAGAAGCAAGGAGCGTGGCATGGGAAGGCACAGGAGCCCGACTGCTCAGTTCACATCCCCGTCACCCTGCCCGGGAGGGGGAGGGGCCCCTTAACTGGGGGCAATCCTCTCCCCGCTGCAGCCAAGTGAGCAGGAGGATTAAATACGTCAGGCCCTCCGGTGGTAGGTTTGTAGCAGCTGCCTCTCAGGGAGAGGCCTCGTGGGCAGGAATAAGGAAGGCCCGGCGAGGGCTTGGCACCTGGGCCTGGCTCTGCTCAGCGTCTGTGAGGACACGGGCGAGCCAGAGGCTTCACACCCCTCACTGCGGCGCCCACGGGTCCTGCTTCCCTGTGGCCACGGCCACGCTCCAGGGTTACACCTGACACTGGGAAATTCCCGTACATCTGGGCCGTCCCGCCCAGGCGCCTGCACAGTGTGGGCTGGCGGGCACGGCTGAGGCTGCAGGGCAGCAGCCCATGGTGGCCTAGGACAGCCGTGGGTTCCGATGTCCCGAGGGAGGGGCCGGCTGCGTGCACACGGACCCCCGGGGAGCCACTCACCTGCGCCAGGACCGCCATAAACCTCTTCAGGGCCACCAAGCGCTGCCCCTCCAGGAGGGAGAACTTGCCCACTTCCACCCGCAGGATGTAGTGCAGGGCAGACTCCAGGTCAGCCATGTAGATCTTGGAGCTGAGGACGCAGAGAGAGAGAGAAAGGGGTGTTCACCACGGGGCAGGCGGAGAGGAGGCCCGGGGCTGAAGGGAGAGGCCAGGAAGGCCACGGCGGACGGACGGACGGTCCCGAGTCCTGTCAGCTGGCTCTGGCCTCTGCTGGCGACGGTGGCCTTGGGCATTTTCGTTCGTGTCTGTGTGCCTCACTTCCTCATCGCTAAGACGGGGATAACGAAGAGCTCACAGGTAGGCAGCGGAGGGGGTGAAATAAGAGCAGAAACATGTACCCCCAGCAGCTCCTGGCATGGAGTAGGGGACCCCTCTGCCAGCCCAGGGCCGGTCCTCCCAGGACACACTAGAGGTGTCTTGACCAGGTCACTAGAGGAAGTTTTAGTCTCAGTTCTGAACAAAGACCCCTAGGGATGGACAGACAAGTCCCACTCAATATGGCTCTGAAAGGGCTGGGCAGGTTGGGGCAGGTGGGAGGTGGTGGGAGGCTGCAGGTTCCAAGCAGGCTGCTCTACTCTGGGTCCAGGTGCTCACTGGGGTTGGGGCTCAGGGCTCTGATGGGCAGGGCTCCTGAGTGCTGGCTGCTTCTCCAGCCACCTCCTGAGACCCGAGTTCTGGCCTCGGTTCTGCAGGGAGCTGCCTCCGGGAGCTGGGCCAACTCACCCTACCCCCTGGGCCTCAGGGTCGCCAGACACCCATGGCTGTAAGAAGCTAACGAGGTCAGCTCACAAGGGGGCACCTCCTGTCTGCTCCACGTGGTGTCCCTGGCCTCGGTTTACCTCTCCAGTCTCGGGCGCTGCCTGAAGGTGGCCTCATGACTGAGAGAGAGGGTGCCTGGGAGGTGCTCGGCACAGAGCGTGGCACAGGAGGCCGGCGGGTGTCACCGGTGACCATCTCCGTGCTTTGGGTGATCATGACGTGAGTGATCAGAATGACCACTCCAACCTCTGAGGGGCTCTTCCCTTCTCCCCTGGTTTGCTAAAATCTCTCCATTGGCACGTTCCGCCCCGGGAGGCCCCGAAGCTGGGGTGCAGAGTTCTTCTTCAAATCAGACGGCCTCCCCCCCAGTTCTCTCACGCAGCCCCCTTCATGGAGCTGCCTTCCTCATGCGCTGGATCCGCCGCTGGGGGTCAGCACAGGAGGCTGACGGCGCGTCCCCCGACCCCCAAAGCAGGGATTCTGCTGCCAGAGCGGGGTCTCGGGACCTCAGAGAGAAGAGCAGCTTTCTCCTGCTTACCGCTGTGCTCGAGGCCACAGGCCACCTCAGCGGGCAGCGAGCCCCCGCCTGGCCGTGTGGCTCCGGGGGCTGCGTGTCCGTCATCCCCTGGGGAAGGGTGTCAGGAGGCAGCCAATCGATTTCTCTCTCACGCTGATGTTTCTCTCTCTCTCTTTCTCCCTTTCTCTCTTGCTAAAAGTCAATTTAAAAATCTTTTGTTAAAAAGGCAGCGAGGCCCTAGCTGGTTTGGCTCAGTGGATAGAGCATCAGCCTGAGGACTGGAGGGTCCCGGGTTCGATTCCGGCAAAGGGCACATGCCTGGGTGGCAGGCTCAATCCCCAGTAGGGGGTGTGCAGGAGGCAGCCAGTCAATGACTCTCTCTCATCATTGATGTTTCTCTCTCCTTCTCTGCAATCAATAAAGATAAAAAAAAAAAAAAAAAAAAAAAAGGCAGTGAGCTCCCGACACTAGAACATTCCAGTGCAGTCGGTGCCTCCAGAGAAGGAAGCTGGAGGGGGGACCCGTGTGTGCGGGACTCCACCTCCCTGTGCATCTGCACGCACACCTCCCAGCACAGCCCTCTCTCCACTTGTTTTTAAATAGAGTTCAGCTTAAGGAATGTGGGTGTTGGGGAGTATTCATTCCATCTCGGAGGATGCGAGGACATGCTGCTGCTCACAGAGGGCTCTCCTGGGCACGGCCGGCCGCCGGGAGCCCCCACAGGCCCCGGGGGTCAGGGCGAGGATGGCGTGTGCTCACCCCATGACGAGGAGCAGAGCGAGGTAGGAAGGGGCATCCGCGAGCGGAGGGAAGGCTGGGGTGGGGAAGGGCGAGGAAAACCGAGGGGCCTTACCGGTCTGCAACTTTCCACGCGGTGGGCGCGACCGTATTGGAAGTGATGGGCGCAACCGTGGTCTGGGCGGCCTCCCGCGTGGCCCCCGCGAACCGCTGCAGGTAGGTGGTGTAGAAGGACCGGGACTCCATGAGCCTGCGGGGGAGAGCGCCACGGGGGAGGCAGTGAGCACAGACACGCGGAACCAGAGCTACTGCACGGCAGGCTCGGGGGCAGGCGCGGGGGCAGGGGAGCATCGGGCAGAACGTTGACTGAGAAATAGCTGAACTCGGTTCAGCCTCAGCCAGTGAGGTCACAGCCGGCACCCATGCCTCATGCACCTTCCTGCCCACTGTTCTGCTGGCAAGTCCCTGAGGGGCAAGGGGGCCGGACACCTCTGGGCCTGGGGTCCTGCCCGGGACAGGACGACACCTCCCCCCGGAGACCGAAGGCGCTCACACACTTGCTCTGAGGGGCATGCGGGGGGGGGGGGGGAGGGGGGCAGGGTCACTGCTCCCCAAGGAAGCCTCACAGGTGGTTTTCTAAAACCAGCAACAAATAGACCAGCAACGGTCTCAAATCCTTTGGGTTTCCTTCTGGCTCCTGACAGAGGAGGAGGTGTGCCTTGGTCTGGCCCCAGGGAGGCGGCTGAGAGGACAGTGAGGCTGAGGGAGGGGACCCCGGGGGGCTGAGGGAGGGGACCCCGGGGGCTGAGGGAGGGGAACCCGGGGGCTGAGGGAGGGGACCCCGGGGCTGAGGGAGGGGACCCCGGGGGCTGAGGGAGGGGACCCCGGGGCTGAGGGAGGGGACCCCAGGGGCTGTGAGGGAGGGGACCCCGGGGGCTGTGAGGGAGGGGACCCCGGGGGCTGTGAGAGAGGGGACCCTGGGGTCTGAGGGAGGGAGGGGACCCCGGGGGCTGAGGGAGGGGACCCCGGGAGTTGTGTGAGGGGGGCTGTGTGAGGGGACCTGGGGGAGCTGGCATCAGGAGCATTGCTTTCCACTTGGCTGACCCAGCCGGTGTGTATCGGTGAGCAGATGGCTCCGAAGCAGCGTCGTCACAAACCATTTTCCCCTCCGCCAGCTCCCAGCGAGGAACAATGCCCTCTCCCCCAGGACGGGAGCGTCCGGGCCTGCGCAGTGGAGGAGCCCCTCCTGTCCCCCCTGACTGCCTACCTCCTCCCCGTCCCACCCCCAGCCCAGCAGAGCCCCGACACCTGCCCCCACCCCCAGCCCGGCAGAGCCCGACACCCCACCCCCCACCCCCAGCCCGGCAGGGCCCGACACCCTCCCCACCCTCCCCAGCCCGGCAGGGCCCCGACACCCTTCCCCCCCCACCCCCAGCCCGGCAGGGCCCGACACCATCCCCCCCCACCCCCAACCCGGCAGGGCCCCGACACCCTCCCCACCCTCCCCAGCCCGGCAGGGCCCCGACACCCTTCCCCCCCCACCCCCAGCCCGGCAGGGCCCCGACACCATCCCCCCCCACCCCCAGCCCGGCAGGGCCCCGACACCCTCCCCACCCTCCCCACCCCCAGCCCGGCAGGGCCCGACACCTTCCCCCTCCCCCCCAGCCCGGCAGGGCCCCGACACCCCCCCCCACCCCCAGCCCGGCAGGGCCCCGACACCCCCCCCCCCACCCCCAGCCCAGCAGAGCCCCGACACCTGCCCCCACCCCCAGCCCGGCAGGGCCCTGACACCCTCCCCCCCACCCCACCCCCAGCCCGGCAGAGCCCCGACACACCCCCCCCACCCCCAGCCCGGCAGGGCCCGACACCCTCCCCAGCCCGGCAGAGCCCCGACACCGGCCCCCACCCCCAGCCCGGCAGGGCCCCGACACCCTCCCCACCCTCCCCACCCCCAGCCCGGCAGGGCCCCGACACCCTCCCCACCCTCCCCACCCCCAGCCCGGCAGGGCCCCGACACCCTCTCCCCCCCACCCCCAGCCCGGCAGAGCCCCGACACCCCCCCCCCACCCCCAGCCCGGCAGAGCCCCGACACCCTCCCCCCCACCCCACCCCCAGCCCAGCAGAGCCCCAACACCCTCTGCCCAGCCGCCTGGCGACCGGGCCAGCGGGCGAGTGGCCGCCCGCTCAGCCTCAGCGCGGGGCACTGATGGCCCGGAGGGACGGCTCCCTGGGCACCTCCAGCGAGCCTCGATCCCCGGCCCTCGAGCTCCCGCTGGCAGGGCCAGGCCGGCATCAATCATCGCCCGGGGAGGGCACCGAGGCACCATCTGGCGCCATTGAGCGGGCCGCTCGGCAGCAGCAGCCTGACAGGGGCTGCGGGTGGCCTGATTGTTTTCTCTTGGCATTTTGGGGCTGGCTATTGTCTGGCTCCTAATGAACTTTTCTGCAATTAGAAAGCCAAACGGAGGGAGGGTCAGGCATACTTGAGCGCCCGCCAGGCCCACAGCCTGCCAGCGCGTCTGGGCAGAGGCGGGGGGCCAGGGCCAGGGCCAGGGCCAGGGCTGCGGCGGGGATGGTGGCCAAGCCCCGTGCCGGGCGTGCCAGGAGCCTGCGGCCGGATGCCTGGACTGGGGTCCGAGGACAGCCTTCTGGGCCCCCCTCCTGGCTGTGGAGACACCGGCCCACACCTACAGGCAGACGCCAGCTTCTCCTGCAGAGGGCGCTTCTCGCCTGCCCGTGGGTTGCTCAGGAGATGTATGCATGCATGTATGCATGCGTGTAAGCATAACCAATAGATGTAAAATTCTGGGGAAGGGGGGCATGTATGGGCGTGGGGGGGGATTGGTAAGATATGTACACATATAATAGCTTAATAAAATAATGAAAAAAGATTTCCCGGGAAGAACGGTCAGCCCGCCAGGCAGGCAGGCTCTCGGGCAGGAAGAAGGGGTGGGCGCAGGGAGGGAGAGCACGGGGCAGAGAGCCCACACTCACACAGGAACCCGGGAGGCAGAGCCGTTGCGGAACAGCAGGTAGCAGGATGGGAAGTCGGTGACGCCGAACTTGCTCACCACGTCGGCCTCCGTGCTGAGGACCCTGCGCACCGCGACGCCCTGGCGCTGGGACAGGTCCAGGATCACCTGCGGAGGCAGGCAGCGTCTGGGGCCGCGCGTGGGCAGAGGGAGGCCTGGCGCCCGCCTGGGCTGGCAGCGCCAGCCACTCCACCCCTTTCACGTGGCAGACTACGGTGATGGGTGAGCATCTCCGGCCACCAACCAAATCCGCGCCGGAGGGAACGAGAGCCAAACCCTGCCTACAGGAGGGGCCTGGGACTGGGCACATCGCACACCACACACCACACAGCCCGAATCTCCCAGGACAGCCCCGATGTAACATCGGCTTCTTCCCCATGAGAGCGACTCGAAAAGGGCAAAAAGGAGCATGGGTTCCTTTTACGCTTGTTCTCATGAGGTTTTCTAGCTGCATTCCAAGTCAGAAAGACATGCTGAGCCCATCGTGACGGTTTTGTCTTCAGAAAGAATAGGAAGGGGAGAGGGATATTAGCGAACGTACACTGGGAATGTGTTATATGCTGTTCACAGGCTGCCTCGTTTAATCTTTAAAGTATCACCATGCAGCAGGACCGGTCTGCAGACCCAGCTGCCTGGACTGGAACCCTGGCCCCGCTGCTTAAACCTCTCCTCGACTCAGCGTCCTGACTTGCAGAATTATAACAACAATTCCAATGTTAGAGGATTGGGTAGGTTAATTTTATAAGCGTGCTGGTGACAATGACTAGCAAACAGTAGGTGCTGTAAGCATTCATTAAAAAAAAAAAAAAGCCGAAACCGGTTTGGCTCAGTGGATAGAGCGTCAGCCTGGGGACTCCCGGGTTCGATTCAGGTCAGGGGCATGTACTTTGGTTGTGGGCACATCCCCACTGAGGGGCGTGCAGAAGGCAGCTGGTCGATGTTTCTCTCTATCTCTCTCCCTTCCTCTCTGTGGGAAAATCAATAAATGTATATTTGAAAAAAAAGAAAAAAACGATTGTAGATGAAGAAACGGAGGCTCCGAGGCGAACCCGAGTTCCCAGGTCACACAGCCAGTGAGCGCAATGGGGCTGCAGAGCCTGGGCCCACCCCGTCCTGCCTCTCAGATGGATAACCCCCCTGAGAACCTCTGCCCGGCCAGCCTACAGGGGCCTTGTTCCTGGTTCCTCTGGGGATACGGGGGAGAGAGGGAGAAGAGCTGATCCCATTGAACAGGTATCCATCACCTGCATGTGACAGGCAGGACCCCTGGCCTGGCCTGGGACCCCGGGAGGGCCAGGCCTGTCTCCACATAGCTCCCCGGCTTCCCTCCTCAGGGCGAAGGGCAGCAGACACCACAGAGCTCTCAGCTGAGCTCAACGAGTGTCAGGAGGAAAGCCACTCAGAGCCAACGGCGGTGCTGACCGGCCCCCCAGTCCCCCCCCCTCACCTTTCCTCCATCCCCGGGCACTGCCTGGCACCTCTCCCGTGCCCCGGCCCGTCCCACCTCTGCGCCCGGAGATCACGGCGGCGGGAAGGGCAGCGTCTGCATTAGGCCAGGGGCCTGGATCCCTACCCCACACCCTCCCGTGCCAGCCACTCCCCCGGGCCCTTTTCCTAAACCACCTCGGCTGACTTTGCCAACCTTCCTCTGAAGAAAGGCAGTTACCACTGCTTTACCCACAGGAAGCTGAGGCTCGGAGACGTTGAGCAACTGGATGGCAACACAGCATGTAACGGATGGAGGGGAACTGCAAGCCTGCCTGGTTCCGTGACTGCCTGCCTGTGCGGACCCCACTTCCTCAGGAAGGGCTGCATGGTCTCTGATGTTATCCCCCGTCCCCCAATACATTTCACCCCAATTCTACGGGATGAGAGGAGGGCCAGTGTGGAGATGACATGGGCCCTGGAGGCAGGCAGGGCCCGTCAAAAGGCCTGTGCTGCAAAGTCAATGGCTGTGTGACCTTCGACACGTCATGTGCTCGTCATTGTTAATCGTGAAGGTTAGCGACTGTGTGTGTCAGCGATCCAAGCCAGCGCTCAACAAACTGCAGGTCTCATCGAGTTTGGCTCCAATGAGGGAGGTTAAAAGCAGACACCGGGACATGGTCGGTAACAGTGTATTAACTTGGTGTGGTGACAGATGGTGACTAGACTTACGGTGATTGTTTAAAAATGTACACAAATGTCAAATCCCTGTGCTGCATACCTGAAGCTAACGTAATATTGCATGTCGGTTACCCTTCAATTAAAAAAGAAAAAATATGTACAAAGGTTTTAAAACAGAAAGACCCAGCTCCTGCACTTCCCGTTTCTCCCAGCAGGGGTCAGGCCAATGCTGGGTTCACAAGTGCACATGCATGAGACCCAACAATTTGGGGGACAGCCCTGCTCCTGAACTTGCTCGGCTCTCCCCCAAGGGCTATCCGGGAGCTACAAAGACCCCGAGGGCACCTCACCTCTCTACCCAGGTAGGAGCCTTCCTTCTCAAAGATCAGGGCCAGGTACTCTTCGTCGTTTCTCGCAAAGAACCCATCGATCTCCTCCAGCCTGCAAGAGACAAGGCCTGCAGTCACTCCACCGCTGGCGGGAATGACGCAGCAGTGCTGGTGACACCAGCGGACACAGCCGCAAATACAACCACACCAACCTCCCCGACTCAAGACTTCCTGGAGGTCACACACACACACACACACACACACCCTGCGCTCCAGGGGCGGGGGATAAACCAAACCCTTATTCACAAAGGACAGTGCCCGTTACCGATCCCTGGTTCTTCATCTCACCCACCTGGGGGACCTGCTTCGCCATCCTGTCTCTTCATGAGTCAGGAGGGAGGACGGCGTGGTCTGGGGAGGAGGACTGGGAAGGGCCACCTGAGGCCGGTTGTCTCTATGTTCTGGGTTAGGCCCAGGCTTAGTGAATATGGATTCTGTTGGCTCCCTAGGACCGTGGTCGGCAAACTGCGGCTCGCGAGCCACATGCAGCTCTTTGGCCCCTTGAGTGTGGCTCTTCCACAAAACACCACGGCCTGGGCGAGTCTATTTTGAAGGAGTGGCGTTGGAAGAAGTTTAAGTTTAAAAAATGTGGCTCTCAAAAGAAATGTCAATCGTTGCACTGTTGATATTTGGCTCTGTGGACTAATGAGTTTGCCGACCACTGTCCTAAGAAACGGGCGATTAGTGGCCACCGGACACGAGCCTTGACCTGTGGCAAAGCAGTACCAACGGGGGGATCTGCTCCTTCCTCTCCTGGAGCAGGCACATGAAAGGAACCGACACTACCTAAGCCAACCTCCTCGGTTTAAGGTGAGGAAACTGAGCGTCGGTGGAAATGAATGAGGTGGCACATTTTATTATGTCCCCGAATCGGAGAAATAAGCCACCGGCTATTTTCATAACTCGAAGTTCAACAGACGATAAATGCCACAAACAAAAATGCCTTGTCTCCTAGCTCTGCGGAAAAGCAGAACGTCATCACACATGCCTAAGCGGCCGCAGGCGAGATGCAGGTGAGATGGCATACGTCTTCCTTCCACCCCCAACCTGACAACCTGGCTCCCGCCACGGGTGATGTGGTGGCGATCACCTCGAGATAGAGGGCACCACGCGGGGCCAGCACTGGCGCCCAGCCCGGCGACGGCACTAACGGGGATGCCAGAGTGGTGGGGCCAGAGTGCACCCGTCAGTGGGCGGGAGAAGGTATGGCTCTGGCACATCGTTTGTGCTGTCACCGGGCAGGGCTCCAGAGCTGGTCCCCGTGTTACATGGGGGGCTGTCCTAACTGTCCACAGAGAGGAAGACATACAGGTTGACAACGGCACCTACCAACCCAACTCACAGGACTCCTCGTTTTTCCCAAGTGCCCGTCCTCTGAAGCCTCACGGAGACCCTGGATCCGTAGTCTTGGTGTGGGGTGGGGCCCCAGGAAACACCCATGCCAAGCCTGCACCCTGCTCCTTACTGCTTCTATGTCTCAATGACCGTGTCTCTCTCTCTCATTTCCTCACCTCCCTCGTGGTGCATTTTCAGCACCTCACTGTCTTAGGAAAGAGACAACCCTGGACGCCTGCTGGGAACGCAGACACAGGCCGCCAGGCAGCAGGCTGACCCTCGGCAGTCCGGGGAGTGGAGTCTCACCCCACCCCGGTCACGGCCACTGCTCTGAAAAAAAAAAAAATCACCTTCCCTTCACAGGCCGGGGTCCCCTCCCTGCCGTTCCCACCACCTTCCCGCCTCCAGGCCAATGATCCTGGCCCAGCCTGCCCCGCGCCCGCCCCGAGCCCAGTACCCGGTGGGCTCCAGCGGAGGACAGGCGGGGGGCCACGTGGCAGTGTGGGTCTCCAGGGCGTCGATGAGCCTCTGCCGCAGCGTCTGCATGTCCGCTCCGGCCACTGCGGACGAAGACGGACACGGGGAGGGGCGTGAGGAGAGCAGAGCGGGGCTGGTGTCACCCCCAGAAACTAAGGGCCCAGGAAGAGCAGCGCATGTCAGGCCTGCTCTGTGCTCACCGCCCTGCGCTACGCAGGGGGACTCCTCCCTCGGATCCGAGTCCCTCCTGTTGGGTCCGCACCTCCGACGCCAACCCCTGACATTTGGGGTGATCCTGGGAACGTGGGACCCTCCCCGCTCCCGGGACCCTGGATGGACCGATATGGAAGGGCGTGCCAGCCCTTCTACTTGAAGGCACCTCCCAGCTGGGCGGGCAGACAGACACACACGGCTGGAAAACACACACGGCTCTCTGCTGGGGACCTCCTCCCTCTGCAGACCTGGCTGTGCTTCTGTCCCAGCAGAAGCCCCGGGGCAGAGGGAGGCGGGACAGGAAGCCATAGCCCACGCCCACAGGCCACCAGCCTCCAGGACACCCACCTGCCAGCGTTGCTCCCGGGCCACTCTTGGAAAAGGCCTTGAAGAACTGGAAACAAGCACACGGGCAGTCAGTGGGGGGCAGGTGCAGCGGAGGGCCGATGGGGTGACTCATGGCGCTGCGCTCAGACCCCACTGCTCACGGAACGGGCGGCTCTGGGCAACGACCCTACGCTGGTGAGCGCCCGTTTCTGCACGTGGAAAAGCCGATGGAGCTGGACTCGGAATCCCCCCCGCCACCACCACCACCGCCTTCTGTCCTCGCATCCAACCCCTAACCCACAGCCCGAGGCCCTGAGGAGCCTAAAAACCTGTCCACATGCTTGACGGCAGGTGGACGGCCTCACAAAGCCCCGGAGGGTCTTTGCCCAGCACGCGCGGCCGGGAACACGTGTGCATGAACGCACGGGAAGGCCGCGGCTGCTCTCCCTCGCAGACCCGCTGAAAACGGAGTGACGTGAGGCCAGACACGCCCTGGGAACGGCAGCCGCCCTCGGAGGCCGCCTGTCCTGGTCCCTGATCTTGGAAAAGGGGCCTGGAGGCCGCTGTCTCCGTCCGCTCCACTCCCCACCCGGCCAGCCAACGCCCCACGTTCAGTCCCGCTGGAGGCTGAGCCCGAGCCTCTGAAGAGACAAGCCTTGGAAGAGACAGGCCACCTGGACGCACAGCTCTGCCCTTCTCCCATTCACATGGCACCCCAGGCCCCGTCTGTCCCTCTGGGGTGAGAGGACGAGGGGGGGGGGGCTGCCACAGTCGGCTGTCCTGGCAGCAGCCACGGAATTGCCGGGAAAGGGCCCGCGGGCCGGGAAGGGGACTTCTCCTGAGGTCCCTAACCCCGGGGGCCGCGTGATCACCTTTGGCCTCTGCCTCCAGCAGAGCGGCCAGCTGGCCTCGCCCCAGGCTGGTGCCAGGCGGAGCACCCTGCCTGTGTGGCCTTGGGCAATCATAAACCTCCCTGAACCGACACATCTTTAAAGCGAGGATGACACCACATAAAGAACGGCTGCGAGGAGTCGGTGATAACTCATCTAAAGAGCTTAGTACGGTGCCTGGGGAATACAGTGAAGGGTCACGACATGTTATTATTGTCATCATCGTCGTCATCATCGACATCATCCCTCCCCTCGTTCCCAACTCTTCCACACCAGGAACCACGGATCACCTGGCCCTTGTTTGTAGGCAGAGAAAAGGCAACTCCCAAGGCCACCTGCCCCGCCTGAGGCACGGAGAGGCGAGAAGCCGCCCCCTCGCCCCACCTGCAGCCTTCCCTGCTCCCCGAGACCTCACCTGGGCCTCCCTCCACCCACCGCCTTCGTCTCTGAGAACATTCACGGGAACTTTCCCTCTGGGTGAGAGCCTCGCCTGGCACATGCCACGCACAGCTCCCTGTTTCTAACGGGGCACTTTGCGGGGACTGAACACATTTGGAATGAACGGAGTCCCGTGTCAGCCTAACCCCTGTGAGAGCCATCACCGGTGTCGTGGACTGTGACCTGCGATCCGACAGGAAGGCACGGGCAGGCGCTCATGGGCTGACGTGGTGTCTCAGGAACAAAACTAAAGGTGCACCTCTCTGTGGTGCGGGGTGCTCACCCACAGTCCCCCAGGGGCTGATCCTCTCCGCGGTGGTTTCCATGGCAATGGCACCCCTTTACGCACAGACAGACCACACCCCGGCTTGTCCCACAGGCAGGAGACACTCCCGACATCGCAAAGCCTGGGGTTCCCGGGGCGGCACAGAGCACAACAACTTCCTTACTAGCAACAGGTGCCAGGCGCTTATCAGACCCAGAGGGCATTTCCTCCATTACAGGCGGGCGGACTGACCTTCTGAAGGCCCAGCCGCGGGCGGGCGGGCGGACGGGCGGACGGCGTGGGGTCAGACAGAAGCCGGGGTTAGTGAGAGTGGTCCAGGCGAACGCAGGGACTCCAAGTAAGGGTCCACCTCCTTCTCCTTCCCAGCACCTCTCTGCTCCCCATGCCGCCGCCCCTTCCCCCCCTTCCCTTCTGTCCTCAGACACTCCCATCCACCTAGGACCGGGGTCGGCAAACTGCGGCTCCCAAGCCACATGCGGCTCTCTGGCCCCTTGTATCTTCCACAAAATACCGCAACCTGGGCAAGTCTATTTTGAAGAAGTGGCATTAAAAGAACTTGAAGTTTAAAACATTTGGCTCTCAAAAGAAATGTCAATCGTTGTACTGTTGATACTTGGCTCTGTTGACTAATGAGTTTGCTGACCACTGGCCTACAACAAGGTCACCTTGAGCTCCTTAGGAACTTTTCCCATCGATTCATCTCCCCTCTTTCCCCTTTTTCCGCCAGCTTCTCCTCTATGCAGATCATCCTAATCAAAGCGGCTGTGGGCTTTTTTTTTTTTAAAAAAGAGAAAGGACCAGAGGGGAAGGAGCATGGGAACAGAGTACGGCCCTCCTTCCTCCCCCAGTTCCGCACTGCCCAGGCCCTGCAGCCAAAAGCTCCATCCAAACTGAGCTGAGTCCCTCCTCCCATTCCCTCTGCCTCCGTGTCCAGGACCAGCCTGCAGGGTGCGCTCCGCCGACCGCCTCTGGCCCACCCAGCCGCCTTCCTGCTCCCGCGGCCGTGGCTGACGCTATCCCTGCCTACTTCCCCCACGGCCAGGGTTTGCCATTTTGGTGCCACATCTTCCTGGCACGCTCCTCCTGTGCCTCAGGTCACCACCCTCCCTCGATTCACCTGACGCTGACCAGGCCTTCCTGGCCACCTTCACGCCCTTCCCCTCACCGTTGGCCCAGCCTCGCCCTTGACTCCGCTCCTGGGCCCGCAGCCCTCGCCGTGCCCTGCCCGCAGTCCCTGCCACGGCCATGGGTCAGGTTATGACTAAGGTGACCAGACGTCCCGATTTTTAACAATTTGTCCCGCGCCCCGCGGCGTTTTAAAAAAGTCCTGATTTTGTTTCCAAAATTGTTAAAAATCGGGACTGTCCCGCCAAAAGCGGGATATCTGGTCACCTTAGTTATGACGCTCTTCCGTTTACAAACCCGGGGAGACCTCGTCACCACCGGGGGGGCTCCCCCCGCGCTCCTGAACGAATGAGTGAGCAAACGGATGCATGGAGAAACCTGCGCTGCATGACCCCCTCGCCACTGTCATCTGCTTTGTCTCAGGGATTTGCCATCGGATCCCTCTGTCTCAGGTCCTCCAGCTCCTAGATTTCCACTTCTTCCTGTGTCCTCTGCGCAGGGGTTGGGGCAACGCCCCCCTTTCTCAGATGGAGTCGCCCCTCCCCCAACCTGTTTCTCCACCCCTGTTCCCATCTCACCCAGGGGCCGTCCTCCTCGCCACTGCCCGGCCCAGCACTGCCCTCTCCCACAGCCCCTCACCCAGCCAGCTGACAAGGTCTGTGGACTTGACCTTTGTGGGCCCTCCCCACAGTCTCGCTGGCCCCCGGCCTGCCCTGACTGTCCGCCCTGCCCTCACTTCTGCCCTCCCTCAGCAGGTTAACACGCTCAGTCTTCTCATTCCCCGACCATCTTCCTCTCTGCCCGCTGCTAATGTCCCTAAGGCAGTGCTCGGCAAACCGCGGCTCCAGAGCCACACGCAGCTCTTTGGCCCCTTGAGTGTGGCTCTTCCACCAAACACCACGTGAAGCTTCGTGGCCCACGCGCAGAAGTCGGTTTTCGGCCTGGGCGAGTCTGTTATATTTTAGAGAAGTGGTTCTAACGCCGCCAAGCCACACTCAAGGGGCCAAAGAGCCGCAGGTGGCTCGAGAGCCGCGGTTTGCCGACCACTGCCCTCAGGCCTAATTCTGGTCTGACGGTGTCACTCCTCTAATCTCGTCCCTGACTCCTCGCTGCCAACGGATAATGTCCAGCTCACCACATTCGAGACCGCCCAGAACTTGACCCCGGACAACTTAGCTCCCACTGCCCCCCCCCACTCCCTCCACGTCAGCTACAAAACACTGCAACTGGAACTTTCCCCCCGCCTGCCCGCCTCCCTGACTCGGGGGCAGGCCTGCCCACAGCTTGTTCGTCTCCACCAGCCCCATTGTGCTGGGCACAGTGTCCGGGACGTGGAAGTCACTCAGAAGACATCTGTGTTCACTTACGCGGAGAGTCTCTGCCCTTTGATCATCGCGGAGGCTCACGTAAAAGTCACAGTAAAATCTAGTCTGGGCGCATTTTTCTCGTCTTATTAACTCCGCTGTGGGCGGCGGGCCCTGCCCAAGGCACGCTGCGGAAACGGGCGATTAGGGCTGCGGCGGCGAGCTTTCCTTCCCCGGGGAGCGCTCAGCCCCGGGCCCCTCTCCCTCCGTCGCCTTACACAGGAGCGTCTGTCTGTCTTCCTCAACCTCGGAGCCGCTGGGAGACCCCCGAGTCCTCCAGAGGCCGGAGTCCCGCTGGCCCCGGAGACCAGCTGGCACCGGGCAGACCTTTACCAGCCTAACCAGGAGCAACTGGCTGGTGGGGGCAAAACAGGGCCGGGTAGAAAGCACACTTTCTAGCGGTGACCATCCATGGCACGGCATCCAAGCTCTTAGGACAAGCTTAAAGAAATATCACTGAGGCCCCAAATATAAGGTGACCAGACGTCCTGATTTTCAAACAATTTGTCCCGAGTCCTGCGGTGTTTTAAAAAAAAGTCCCGATTTTTGGAAAGAATAGATTTTTAACAATCTGCCAAAACCGGTTTGGCTCAGTGGATAGAGCGTCGGACTGCGGGCCAAAAGGTCCCGGGTTTGATTCTGGTCAAGGGCATGTACCTTGGTGGCGGGCACATCCCCAGCAGGGGGTTTGCAAGAGGCCGCTGATCGATGATTCTCTCTCATTGATATTTCTAACTCTATCCCTCTCTCTTCCTCGCTGTGAAAAATCAATAAAATATATTAAAAAAAAAAAAAAAAAAAAAAAAAAAACCACCAACAACAATTTGTCCCGATTTTTGGGACTTTTTTAAAACGTCGCGAGACGCGGGACAGATTGTTGAGAATCGGGACTGTCCCGCCAAAAGCGGGATGTCTGGTCACCTTACCCAAATACCTGAAGGCGAGCCCAGAGGATCTGATCTGCAAGGGTAACCGTTCCTGCGCTGTGGACAGTGAGTGGGGGAGCCGTCGGGAGGGCAGGGGACTGCTGAGCGAGGGCCCTCTCCTTTCCCCAGATGGGGGGGGGTGGCAGGTGGCACCTTTTTATTCCTGCCCCAGCCTGACATCACACCCTCCAGCGAGAGCCACCTAAGGTAACGGCCCCAACGCCATCCGACCGGGCGTCCACACTCCCGGCCTTGCATGCTGGGGCTCCCCCTTCCCGGCATGACCGCGGCCCTGTGCACCAGCCTCCGCTCCGGCCCGACCAGTCTTCTTAGCACACGTCCTTCCCACACAGGCCTGCGCTCTCACCTCCCACCTGCCCACACGCCTCTCTCCCCGCCCAGCACCACCCGCCCTTCGGCACCCAGCAGGAGCTCCCCTCTCTCGGGCGGATACTCGAGGGAAAGAGCTCAGGGAGCAGCAAAGCCCCAGCCCTCGCTGCCCACACGCCACCCCCTGCCTGGCGGCTCCGTGGTGAGCTCTGTGCCCCTGAGGGCGGGACCTTCGTGGGAGGCCCTCGGTGCCGGCCTCTCCCATGACGGTGAGCACGTGCTGTGCACCCGGCAAACACTCACGCAGCAGCGGCCGCTGGACGGGCTGCCTCCAGGGCAGTGCCCAGCGAGGAGCCACCAGGAGGCCCCGGGCAGCGGGACGGAGGACAGCCAGCGCCGGGCGAACACCGAGTAACGCCGCCGTGCCCCAGCGCCGCACACGGAAGACCTCACGTCACACGTGGCAACAGTCTGTTAGGTGGCTATTACCGTCCCACGTGTACCGACAGGGAAACTGAGGCGTGCGGCTGGGGCCTCCCCAGGTCACGTACGGGAAGCGGGGAAGCCACACCCATTATCTCCTCGAACCTTGCAAAGGGGAGACTCCTGTCCTCTCCCACCCCGGTGCTGCTGGTCCCCGTCATCCCGATCCCACCGGGCCTCTGGCCACGAAGGGCCCTGGTCCGTTACCAACTGGGGGGTGGCCCCGTGGCCGATGGCAAAGCCCTTTCCCCCCAGAAGCTCCCTCCTCCAGGTGCCAAGCTCCGCCCAGAACCTGCTGGGAACCGGTTCCTCCCTGCACTTTTGTTTTCTCCCACTCGGCTCCGGCTCCGGTCTGATGGGCCCGCCCGGCAGCGCCAGGTGTTTGCCAAACAGGCTGGCCTGTTGGGAGCTCCCTGTTTGCTCACGGTGACAAAGGGCAAGAGGCAGAGGAGGGAGACGGTGACACACGGGATGATGACCTATGTCACTGGGGGTGGCCGGGCTCCTGTGTGGGCCTATTCCCATCCCATCAGGTACCCGCTCTTCCCCTCCTCACCCCGTGCCTCCTCCTGGTGCCCTCGCAGCCCGGGAGGCAGGAGGGAGGAGGGCTCCAGGCCCAGGTGGCAGCAGACAGGGCGACGGGACTCTCTCTGGCCGGGCCGACAGCTGGTCTGCACCGCTCTCCGGGGCACACAGCGGGCACGCTGCCCGCAGGGACACCGGCTCTCAGCGGCCAGCATCCCTGCCGATCGGGAATCTGTCGGAGTCGTGTTTCCCAAACACTAAACGCAATCGAGCCGACGGCTGTAAAGTCAATTTAGTGAGTCACAGTTATTTCTAACAAATAAACAGAACAGCCCAGCCAGGGTGGCTCAGGGTTGGAGTATCGACCATGAACCACAGTTCGACACCCGGTCAAGACACGTGCCCAAGGTCAGGCTCCGGCCCCAATGGGGGGCATACAGGAAGCAGCCAATGGATTCTCTCTCATCACCGATGCCTCTATCTCTCTCTCTCCTTTCCTCTTTGAAATCAGCAACAAATAAAAATATACACAACAGAAAGGACCTGTGTGTACAGCACTTAGAACGCTGTTTCATGAAACATCTGTCTCCGTGGTAACAGACACCCCCTTCTGGGTCCCTGTTAACGTGCATGCCTCCCCGCAGGGCGCACGAACGTGTCTGGACGCCTCTGCTCGGGGTCTCAGAGCGGAGACCCGCCAGGAGCGTGGCCCACGGGCACCCTGAACCAGAGTCCCAGGCTCAGGGCACCGAGCGCCCTCTCCTAGCCGAAACTGACTCCGGCTCCTGGGGAGAGGCAGGGAGGTCACCCACTGCCTCCGGCCTCTTAAGAAATGGGCAGATGACGACCGGCCTGGCCATCCGGTGCTCCTGAGTGGAGGCAGGGGAGGCCAGGGCCTCGGCTGACACAGCTGGCTGGGCGGTTCAGGAGGTGATGAATCACTCGAGGCATCCGGGCTGCGTGTGCTGCGTGACCTGGGTAGGCACCGAGGAGCATGTAGACGTCCTGGCCGCCTCCTTCACACCCACGGAGCCCCGCCTCTCCCGGGCAGACACAGAAAGCCCACGGGCCAGGCCCCACAAACCCCCATCGGGCCACGCTGCCAATGCCAGGCCCTTCCCCGGGCCGAGGGCCCCCCGCCCCCATCCCGGGAGGGCTCCCCACTGCCTTGCTGGCTCCCGCAGCTCCCACCCTGGCTCAGCAGGAGAAATTGTCAATATTTTCAGTTCCATATCTCAGGGCCAAGGACAGGGCACGGCCCTGCCCGGGAGATGTTTTCACCGGGAAGGGCTGATTTATGAACCATCTCTCTGCTGCTGCCTCCGAAGGACAGGGCCGGAGCTGCCTGGCCTCAGCTGACGGGGCATCGGCCTCGACCCTAAGTGCTCACCGAGGGACAGAAGGGAGCTCCGTGGCCGCGGAAACCCTGAGCCCCGAGGAGCAGAAAGGTCGCACGGAGTCAGAGCCGGACGTGGCTGGAGCCCGGGCCTGGCTCCCCGGATGCACGGAGTGATTAGGCCGAGCTGTGGCTCCCGGCTCTGCTGGGAACACAAAGCCCCTGAGCAGAGAGAGAGAGCTGGTTCGGGGACCTGCTTGACCGATCAGCGTCCAGAGGCCTTTTGTGATGATTATCGGTGGCTTTAGAGGAAACTGCTTTTGGCCGAGACCGGTTTGGCTCAGTGGATAGAGCATCGGCCTGCGGACTGACAGGTCCCAGGTTCGATTCCGGGCGGAGGCGTGTGCCTTGGTTGTGGGCACATCCCCAGAAGGGGGTTTGCAAGAGGCAGCTGATCGGTGATTCTCTCTCATGGATGTTCTAGCTCTCTGTCCCTCTCTCTTCCTCTCTGTAAAAAATCAATAATTAATATATATATATATATATATATATGTATAATTTTTTTTTTTTCTTTTAAAGAGGAAACTGCTTTTGGAGGAGGCCGGCTATTTAGAGCTGGAGTGAGAGAGAGAGGTTCGGCTGCAGCCATGGCCAGCGCCCTGGGGAGGGGGCTAGGTAGATCTGACAGCCGTGCTGCTCTGGGCTCTCAGGCTCCCGGTGAGAGCCTCAGACAGTGTTGGGATGTTAGTGGCTGGCCGGCTGGCCGGCGGGCAAGGCCTTCGCTACTGTGAACCAGAGCTGTGGTGACGGTGCCAGGGCCGGTGTGCTGGGTGTGCCACCAGCCTTGTGACGTGACGGGGATCCCTGCCACCCAAGGCACCTTGACATGGTGACCATGGGGTGAGGCCGCCCTGACAAGTCACCTCCCAGCTCCTGGGGTTCAGGGCACTTGTCTGATGAAGAGGAGGCTTGCCCATGTCTCTGGGGCCCTCTTCTGGGGACCACGGGGCCACCTGAGTCTGATCCTGCTACGGGTGAGTTTTCTAGAGTTAGATCAGACCTCCAGAGCCAGGTGGTCTGGAGGGAGAGGACCTGGGAGGAGGCCCCTGGGAGCTGGGAGCTCTCACCAGCTCGGGGGGGAGGGGGTAATGCCTTCACAGCCGAAATCTGCCCCCCACCATGTACCCCCACACTCCCCTTCCCTTATAAAGGGGACTTGCCAGACTGCGTGAACCTCTTTCTTTTCTGCCTCCTAACTCACACCCCTTTCTGCCTTTCACGGTGTCTCAGCGGCTGGGATGTAAACAGACCAGGAGCATCAGAGAAGCTCAGAGCTGGCAGCCGCTCCCCCCGCCCCCTGCCCCCAGACCCGCTCCCCACTCCGCTCCTCGTCACGCACCCTCACGGTCGGGAAGCCGGGGATGTCGAAGTCTCTGCAGACGGCGCTGTTGGTCTCGTCAGCACAGTCTAGGGCAGCGAGGTTCAGCGCCGGCCTCCAGTCTGAAAGGACAGAAACAGCCAGAGGAGGAAGAGGGGCTGGCACCTCGGCCTGCTCACTCCCCTGTGCAGCATCCAACCCCCACCCCCACCTGCCCCCAAGGCCCTTCAGAGAAAGGCCCCCTTCCTCCAAAAGACCCTCCGGTACAGCTTGCGCTGAGGACACAGTGAAACGGCACAAGCAATGAATGCTGTCTTGTGACGGCATCTGTGTCCCCCCTAACTGGGGGCAGGGGGGCTGAAGGGAGAGGGGGGCTGAAGGGAGATGGGGGGGGCTGAAGGGAGATGGCCTTGCAGGGAAAACCAGCTCCAGGAGGGCGGAGCACATGCCTCGGGAAGTCTGACATTTCCCAGGGGGCCCTCGGAGACATTTTTCTGGCCAGAGGAACTGGCACTGGGCCCGGCTCGGGTGGCGGGACACGAGGTGCTGGGCACTGGCTCCCCAGCCAGCGAGGGAGGCAGGAAGTCCGGGGAGGAAGGGGGAGGCTCCGGGGACCTAGGAGCCACAGGGAAAGAGCCCCGAGGTCAGGGTCTGGAAGGAGAGGAGCAGCGGCCCAGCACCAGGCCCCAGGCTGCACGTCCTTGTGATTTACGGGCGGAGAGAGTGAGGGCACCGTCCTGGGCCACAGCCCAGGGTCCGGGAAACAGAAGACAAACTCATCCACCAGGCAGGCCTCCAGCGCTCCGACTCAAGGTCAAGGTGCCCCTTAAGCACCCACCAACGCTCCCCGTCACTAGGAGGCCGCTCCGCCGGAGGGCAAGATACACACACGGGGCCACAGGAAGCGCGAGGTGGCCACGGGCTGGTGCCATGCCGTCTGAAGGAGGTTGGAGCTGGGAGAGACCTGCCCTGGGGACTGAGTGTGGGCCTGCAGAAAAGGAGGAAACAGAGTGGAACTCCACAGCCAGGTTGTCAAGCAACACGGGAAGCAGCGGGTCAGGACCCTCTGAGGGAGACCAGATGGCTGAAGAGGAGGCGCAGGGGTCCTGGGAGCGCTCGGCTGGAGGTGGGGGTGGCTGACTCCCTCAGCACCTGGAGCCCCGGCTCTCCGGGCTGATGCAGGAAGGAGGAAGCTGCCTGGTGGCACGTGTGCTCCCCACGGGGCCCTACCCCTCCTACAGTACAAGGTGGGGTAGGGGAGTGGAAGGGTCGCCCAGTACCCATTAAGTGCAAATTACTAATCCTATCTAATAAAAGAGCAAATTGACTGTCACTCCAATACACAAGATGGCTGCCCCATGTGGTCAAAGATCCTGCCCCCATGGGGATACAAGATGGCCAGCACAAGATGGTCAGCCGGGGAGGGCAGTTGGGAGAGACCAGGCCTGCAAGGGAGGGCAGTTGGGGGCGATCAAGCCTTCAGGGGAGGGCAGTTAGGGGTGGCCAGGCTGGCAGAGGAGGGAAGCTGGGGGCGATCGGGCCTGCAGGGAAGGACAGTTGGGATGGACGTAGGCCTGCAGGGGAGGGCAGTTAGGGGTGGAACAGGCTGGCAGGGGAGCAGTTAGGCATCCATCAGGCTGGCAGGGGAGTGGATAGGGGGTGATCAGGCTGGCAGGCAGAAGCGGTTAGGGGCAATCAGGAAGGCAGGCAGGCAAGCAATTCAGAGCCAGCAGTCCTGGATTGTGACTAAACAGGCAGTCGGACATCCCTGGATTGTGACTACCGAGATCAGGCCTACACGGGAAGTCAGATACCCCTCGAGGGGCCCCAGATGGGAGAGGGCTGGGCTGAGGGACACGTCATCTCCCCCTCCCCCCCCCCCCCGCCCTCCCGTGCATGAATTTTGTGCACCGGGCCTCTAGAGTCTGAATAACATCCCTGAGAATCATGGCTTTGCCAGGATCTCGTACCTCCCCCCGAACCCGTCCCTTACGATGTCTGAAAAATCTACTTCAGAAGGCATCAGCGCTCCCACGAACATGTGATGCCTGAGGGAGGAGCGTCAGGCTCACTTCCACGAGACAGACCAGAGGCAGGAAGAGGCAGGACTCCTCCCTGACAACGCTGGCCCGTCCCTCAAAGGAAAGATGGGTAGCAACTAAGCTGGTCCTTCTTGCGGGGACAGGAGGGAGGGGCCTGGGGCCGGGAGGCAGGCCTGAAACAACACCCTCTCCCTCCCGGTCCCTGCCCCCATGCCCTCTTCCTTTCTTGCCGGCAATCCACTCTTGGCACCGAAGCTTCTGGAATCCTGGCGGGAGGCAGTGAGTGGGGGCGGAGGGGAACGAGGGGTCGTGGTTAGTGAACGTGTTTAGCAGAGACGGGTGGGCCACGTCCTGACATGCCACTTCCCCGACCCCCACTGGCACACCAGTTGGCGTGTATCCAAATCTCTGCAAGCTGGTGTGCACGTGTCGGCTGTAAGTCACTCGCTGAGCAGCCGGCCCGGCCCTCCGGACACTCTCCCCGCCGGGGATGGGCACCACTGGGCGGGGCAGTCAGGCAGTTAGCCACACAGATGCAGGAACCCGGCCAGCCTCCGGATCCTGCCCACCCTTCCTCCCAGGCCTCTCCTCCCCATCCACCACTAACCCACCCTCCATGGCTACTGAGCTCGCGTGAGTTTCTCAGGGCAGACACTGCTCTCACCAGCCCACCAGCCACCAAGCGAGCCTTCCTACCTGTCCATGTGCTGTGCCCCTCTCGACTCAGTTCTCTGGTGGATTTCTCTGATTGCCTTTAGAAAGAAACCTACAGCCCGAAGGCCATTCTCCCCGTGTCCCCTGCCCCCTGAGCCCCCTCTTTCCACTTCCATTTGTCAGGAACACTCGGTCCTCTCTCCCCGCCCCGGGAAGAGCTGCCTTACAGGCCCAAGGCTCTGCTTGTGTTTCTGCCACATGCCTACAAGCCTGGCCATCCCTCAATGTCTCTTCGTTTCCGTATCCCCACTGCCGAGCACACAGCAGGCGCTTAGGGAGGGCTTCCCGCTGCCCTGTGAGCCCCAGTGTACCCTCAGGTCCAGAGAGGGGGCAAGGTTAACACCAGGCACCCGCAAACGCAGGAGGCAGAGCGGCCTGGGTGCGGGGTTTTGCCCTGGGTCTCAGGAGAGCACCCGGGTTTTCATTCTGCCCAGACGAGGCCCCAGGGGATGGGAAGCGCAGGTCACCCCATGGCCACCTGGCACACAAGAGGCCTGGCTCCTGCTCTGCATCGACGGCTCTGTTCCCCGCGTTCGGGGAGCCCCACAGAAGAGGCCCAGCTGTTTTCAAAAGAGTCAGCAAGTGAGTTAGACATAAGGGCACAGCGGAGGGGCAATACTGCAGCCTTCCACCGGGAGGGCCGGGCAGGGTGACCGAGGACCACCCACAGGCCTCGATGGCCTGCTCCCCTCCAAGAACGCAAGTCAGCATCCCTGGGCCGGAGTCAGTGCCTGCCGCCCGCTGGGGGAACCAAGACTGAGGGATGGGGAGGGGGGAGGAGGAAGGTAGCGCTCAGTGAGCACCCAGGAGACACCCAGGCGGTCCCACTCCACCACGGCCACTGGGAGTGCCGTCATGTCCCCACTCTACAAGCAAGGACAGGGTCTGAGGCCTCCACCTGTCCCGGGGCTCCCCGCTGGCCTCACCGGGGCCAGGACACCACCTCTGTGTCTCCCGTCTCTGCTCCGTCGCCGCCTCCCCGGAGCAAGGGAACGGCAGGGCCAGCTTTGTCGTTGGCTCCTCACCCGTCTCTGTAGCTCTTCCTCGGATGACAACGGCAGTGTGTGCCTGAGGGTTCACCATGGGCCTTCCTGGTCAGGTTTAATGGTTGTAACTACCCTTTGAGAAAAGTTCAGGTGCTTATCTCGAGGCCTGCTTGCCTGGTCCGTAAGACAGATTAGAATACCACGTCCCAGGCACACAGCCCATCAACGGGGAATCTGGGGTCGGAACCCGGGAAGGGAGCCCCAATGCGGGTCTCAAGAGGGCCCAGGGCCGAACAGAGAGCTGCTCTGCCGGCTTCCCTCCCAGGGGCTCGGGGCGGGTGGGGCTGGTGGTAAGGACAGAGGTGGCCTGGGTGCTCCCAGCCCCATGCTCCTGGGCGGTCTTTGCCTCCTTCTCTTTAAGCCTGACTCCCTGTCCCTCCCAGGGCCTCCTCTCACCTGGCCCAGACCCGGCAGGAGCGGGAGGGAGAGGCTGGGGCCGGGGAATGTTTCTCAGGAACATCAATGTCCATGCCTCCGTGAGCCACGATGGATGCCGTAAGCATCTGGGCTGCCCGAACCCCCGGGGGCCTGACTCCTCCTCCCTCTGGGACAGCGACGCAGGGGAGAGGCCCTCCCCGGGTGCTCCCCGTGAAGCCAAGTGCTCCGCGGTCACAGGCACGGAGCCGGCGAGAGGGGCTTTTTAAAGCGGCTTCAATGCGATCGCCGCCGGCAGGCCTGACACCACAGACCAGCAGCGTCGGAGGAAGAACCTTCGGGTGCGATGACCGCCCCGGCCAAGTCACTTCTCCGCCGGCAGGAGAGGAAATGAGCAAATGCGCGGGGATGCGCGGGGAGGCCCGGTGACCCGGACAGCCGTGGCTGAAGGGGAGGCGGGTGGCTGAGGGGACACTGTGGTGAGGGGGTGAAGGGCTACTTCTGAGGCCCCACGCAATGTCCCTGCCCCACTCACAAGCCCAGGAAGGGGCACCAGACCCAGGGCCACAAGACCTGCCTGGAGCTCTAACTGGCCAAGGAGGAGAGGAGCCCACACATCTCCTCTCTGGGCCCCCGTTTCCTTCAAACGAGGGCCCGGGCTGTCCACGTCCCTTCCAGCTCGGTAGACTGCTATGTGGCAAACGCTGGGTGAGAAGAATGGCCGTGAGGCCTGAGGGTGGTAAGCAAGCCTGGGTGTCTCCTGAGGCAGAAGCCAGACCCACCGAGAGCCAGCCGGGCCGGGGGGTCAGAGCGAGAGCCCCGCCAAACTGTCTAGGAATCGTCCCGACACAGGGAGTGAGCCAGGGCTATGAGCTCACCGCCTCGTCCCTTCCGCCCTGGGGCAGGCTTATGGGCAGTGAGGTCACGAGATGCACAAAATGCCTTCCCGAGCCCTCACACCTGGCTGACACCCCGGGTCTGAGTCAGGAGGAGCCACAGAGCCAGCCGAAGGCTCGATCACTCACACTCACATGAGTCCCGTGAGGCTCATGCCAGTGGCCTGCGTGAGTGTCCTGTGGGCTCCTGCCCTGTGCCAGGCTCTGCGCCAGGCACCGCAGGGGAAGGTGGAGGAGGGCTGGTCTGTGCCCTGGAAGAGAAAGGGAGGCGAACCAACACTGCTCACCACCGCTCAGACATCCGGGTCTCACCCCCACAACTCTGCCCAGGCCACGTCCCCCTGGCTCTTCCCTCCTCCCCCCGCCCACCTCTCCCCGGCCCAAGCTCCGGGAAGTCAGGAAGAGCTGGGTTCAAGGACCTCCTCTAGCATCTGTGATAAAAGACGGCATCTACTGCTCAGACATAGCTCATAAAGATTAGGCAGGACAGGGGCCTGCAGAGGCCCTCAGCAAAGTGCCTGGCGTTAGGGGAGTCGTTCATAACTGCTTGAATGAAGGCTGCTGGTGACCAGGTAGCCAGCCTCCTGTGACTTTCCCCTTCCCTGAATTCCTGCAACAAGGAATGACTCAGGGCCCTGGCCTGTGTGGCTCAGTTGGTTGGAGCGTCGTCCTGTGCACTGAAGGGCGGCAGGTTCGATTCCCAGTCAGGACACACACCCGGGATGCAGGTTTGATCTCCAGTCAGGGTGTGTACAGGAAGCAACCAATTGATGTTTCTCCCTCTCTCTCTCCTCCTTCTTCCTCTAAAACCAACAACAACAAAAAATCCATATCGGACACAGACAACAGGGAGGTGAGGGCATGAGTGGGGGAGTAGGAGTGCAATGGGGGCATAAGGACACATATGTAATTCCTTAATCAATAAAGGGGGGGATGGGAGACACCAGCACTCAGAAAAAGAGAGAAACATTTTCTTATTTCATTAAATAGTCCAAAGTACTATTTGTTTAAAACCATTAGAATATCTGATTCTAAAGTAAATTTTTTTAAGTTGTAGCCATTTAAATCACTTGAGTTTTACACACTATTTTTTCCCTTTTTTAATTAAATTTTTATAGTAATTGATTGTTCCTTATTGTTCAAAATGTTATTGACAAGTATCTAATGTCATATGTTAGTTCAGTTTGTTGCAAAATGTTATCTATAGCAAGTTAAATACTTGTAAAAATAAATAAACAAAATAAATAATAAAATTTAAAAAAGAAACTATGTCCTCAGGGAAGAATTTTAAAAACCTGTAAAAAAAAAAAAAAAAAAGAAAAGGAAAAAGGAATGACTGAGTGAGCAGCTTTTGGCCCATTTCAAACACCGCTTTTTCCTCCTGCCCTGTGTAGTTCATTTCCCACAAATGCAATGCAAACTATGCTCTGTGCAGAGGTCACTCAACAAATATTTGCTGAGGGATTAGCTGGTGAGGAGTAATGAAGGTCTAAACTAACACAATCCATTTCCCAAAGGTACGTGAGCCAAATGAGGATGCTCCCGCCTGGTCCTCAGCGCTCTGCCCCTGGGCAACCGAGAACCTACCCCGCCAGTCCCCGAAGAAATGAGCCCTAGCCAGTCGGATCGAATGCCTGAGGCCGGTTGGGCAGGGCTGCAGAATGCTTCTCTCCCCCAACCGTCCACAGTCCTGCTGCTCCTACCCAAGACAGTCATCCCATCGGCAGGGGGCAGAGGCCAGGGTGGTGTGAGAGCAGCCCTGTGGCTGGCCCACAACCAAACTTTCCCAAGAACCTCAGAACGAAGACGAGGGGAGGGCCACCGGGCTTCTCAGCAGGGTCTCCCCAGGAAACACCAAAACACCATTGGCTTGGAGTGGGGGCAAGCTCCATCGCTGCCGGTTCGGCCAGTGCCTCACTCCCGCCATGCACAGGGCACCCCACTGTACGCCTAACCTCTCACCTCTATAGACTTCAAGGCTCCCATTTTCCTTTCTGATGTTACATTTTGCTTTTGTGTCGTGTGTCCTCCTCTCCCCTCCCCCCCCTCCGCCCCTTTATTTTTAGGGACTGTCACTCCATGAACTGGGGAAAAGATCCCGTTTGGAAGTGGCAACCCTGACCCGGAAGTAGGCTGTGCAATCCATTGGGAAAGTCTGAGTCAGCTGAAGTTAGGCACTCTCAGGATAGGAGACTCTTCTAGGCTGAGTCCATCTGCGGCCACCAAGGACCTATAGCCTCAGAGTGGAAACCAATCTCAGGATTTTGATGATGTTCAGGCCCCACAAAGTCTCCTAAAGCCCCTGATGTCCCGTAAGGTGTTCCAATTCCCCGTTCAACATTCTTCCTCCCTCCTGCCCTACTCAGATATGCTGACATCACTGACATGGTGTGAAGAGTGGCCGAGAAATGGCGCCTTCAGGTGATGGGACCAGAGTGGCATGCAGACAAGTGTCTACATGTAAACTGGAGGTAGAATGGCTTATTGGTTTCGTTCAGAAATAACCTCCCTGGACCCCATGGTTTCTTTGGTAACCACTGCCCAAGCGACTCAAGGAAGAGGTGGCCTGAGTTTGAAAACCATCTCCACGTGGGCTATTCGACCACCAACAGTTGAGTGTATAAAACACAATACCAACGGGCCAGCAGGCGCCCCAATTCTCCTCTTTCCAAGAAAGAGGCCTGTTTCTTAAGATGCCCACAGCCCTCATTCAACGAACAGCAATGATGAGGAGCCCTGCGAGGCCCCAGCATCACCGTCAGAAAGTAGCTCCGTTCAGAGGCAGCAAGTCAGAAGCAAACCATGACCCCCAAGCCACTCCTGCCCCCCAACAACCAGGGCGAGGCAGATGTGTGACACCGCAGCGGTCTTTAAACCGTGGAAAGGAAACTCGGAGATATCGTCTGACATATAGTGAGCCCTCAGTAAATATGAATTACTATTATCCCCATATTCCCTCAGCTCTAAGTCGTAAGCTTTCAAAAACGTTAACATTTCTATAGCAGGGTACACCTTTCACTTCCTACACACGAGGGTCTTTTGATCGCTCTACCCCCGGGGCTGTTAGTAAATGAATGGGGTTTCCCCCAATGGATGGGCTTTTCTAATCAAAGCTAGAGTGGAGCCAAGGCCCCCCACACACCAACCGGCTGCCTTCCCTCAGTCAGGCCTCTGGGCCCACGAGGGTGAAACAGGAGGGTCTGAGAGGGAGGGAGGGAGGGAGCGTGGCCCAGGGGGAGAGAGAAGGATGCGGCCCAGAAGCTGAAGAGCTGGAGGCAGCAGGCCTGGAACTGCCCCAAAGGTAAAGCTGAGAAAGAACGTCTGCGCACCAGCTGGTCAACTACCCCTGAGGGGGGGCCAAGAAGGAGGGGTGTCAGTTCCTGTTCTCCCCAGCACGGACCCCCAGCAGCTGGGGAGCCTGGCAGGAAGGAGCCGAGGACGGGCACTGCCACAGGCTGGACCGGAGGAAGCCCTAGGATGTCCCCGAGATGGAACAAAGGAGCCGCGGCCGCAGGGATGGGGCAGTCAGCCGGGACCGGGAGGCTGGGAAGGCAGAGCCGGTCTGGAGTAGAAGCTCGGACAGGGGCCAGGGGAAGCCGGAGAAGCCGGGGAGCCACCAGGGAGTGGACGGCTGTGAAACTGGGGGAAGTGGGAGGGGCGGAGAGGAAGCGGGTCGAGGGGGAGGGGCCCTCTGCGGGGCAGGTGGGTGGGTGGGTGGGTGGGGAGGGTCGGCCCGGGGCGCCCGGGGTGCGGGCCTTCCCTCTGGCCCCCGGGGCGCCTCACCTTTGACGTCGTTGGCCAGCGCCTTCCACATGGGGGCGAAGGCGATGCAGTGGCCGCACCAGGAGGCGAAGAACTCCACGGCCCAGGCGCTGCGCGAGTCCTGCACGGCGCCGCGCACCGAGTCCGCCTGCAGCAGCGTCAGCGGGTCGGACGGCGAGTAGAGCGCCGAGCGCGGGGCCGCGCCAGCGCCGGGCGCCGCCAGCAGCACCAGCAGCACCAACGGCAGCGACGGCGGCGGCCCCGAGCAGCGGCCGCACCAGCCCATCCTCCGCGCTGCGCCCACCACCGCGCGCAAGTTTCGGATGAGTTGGTGCGCGCCGGCCGCCTCACCTCCTGCCTCCGTCCCGTGGGCGGGGCGACTGGGCCCCGCCCCGCGTTCCGTAGCCCCGCCCCGCGCTCCGTAGGCCCCGCCCTCCGCGGCCCAAGGGCGGAAGAGCGGGCGGGGGCGGGGCCTACGGGCCCACGTGCCGGAGTCCAGGCTGGACCGTGAGCGCCCCCTTCGCGGTTTCCCCGAGGCCTCGGAGGCGCGCTAGCATGGCCCGGCCTTGGATCCAGGGAAGCGGGGAGCGCAGTCCAGGCCCTGGAGCCCTCCCTCATCCCCAAATGGAAGAAGGAGCGGGCGTCCGCGGGTCAGAGGCCCGCACCAGCGTTCGCGGAGCTGCTAGGGCCTGGGGGAGGTCGTTTGGCTTCCCGCAGGCCCTGTATCCAACCGAAAATGAGTTGGAATAAGCGATAACATTGTAAGTTAAAACCAGTTGGGAGAGAAGACCGACTGGTGGCACCATGACTCCCACAGGGATCAAAAGTGTCCACACCCCCTGAGGCTCGGACCACTCAGCTCTTTCCCATACGCCAAGGGGCCAAGGGGCCTGTAGCTTCCCTGACTGTGCATCCTAGATCCTGTGACATCCCTGTCTGCACACCCACCCACGCTTCCTGCACGGAGCCACTCCTTGGCCCCTCAGAGGATGGACAGACCTGGGGGGGATTCTAGAAGCTGGCCTGGCGCTCTGGGGGCAGTGAGTCCTAGGGTCTTGAGAACCATAATATGATCTGAGAAGTGAGGAGCAGGAGCTTGGGGTGGGGGGGGTGGGATGGGGAGAGGAGCACATCCCTTAGCCCATGAGTTTCTTGCTCTTTGAAAAGGGGCCTGATTGGAAGAAGGCCAGAAGGCTCAGAACCAAAGACCCAAATGCGGTGTCGGAGGAAGCCTCGTGGCAATCTGGGATGAGGGGGGTCGGGGGAGAAATCTGGAGGTTGGGCTTTTGTTGCCTTCATGTGTTCCTCTTCTCTTGAACTCCACAAATTACATGTTGACCGGATGGAGTGTTAGTACCTCCCCAGATCCTCCCGCCAACTTCAGATACCAGTACCTCTTCCTCACTTCCGGCAGCCACGGAGAGCAGGCTCGACCCAGGGTCATCAGGATAGAAGGCTCTCTCCTAACCTTGGATTCCAGGGGCTGGGACGATTCCAGTGGCGGGATCAGATGCCAGTAAAAGTCAGATACCTTCAAATGTCTTCATTGTTAAGCAGTGGTTATTCCCCTGGGGGCCAGATAATTAAGGAGACAATGTCTGCTAAGCACGCCAGCCTGAGAAAGACACCCTGGATGAATACACAAAGATGTGCTTGTTCACGTATCTGTTTCGGTGTAAAATGGAAAAGAATGCAAACTCCTAGAATAGATTAGAGGCCCTTTCTTGGCAATGGGGCCAAAGAAACCAAGAGTTACAACAGCTGAGGTTCCAATATCTTGGAACAGGGGTTTTTGACGTTTTAGTCTCGGAAGCCTTTGTTTAAATAGAATCTTGAAGGGAAGCTTAATCAGACAAAAGCAGGCTAACGTTGTGACCTACAGTGAGTCCCTCTGTCTGTGGTCTCTGGGGCTCCTTGGGAACCCAGGGCTCCCCATGGCCTCATGGGAAAGCCACTGGTCTGGAACTGAGAGCAGAAAAGGAAAGAATCACAATGTGCCCTGCTTGCCCTCCCAGCAGCTTCGTGGGATGAAAAGGTGGCAGAGAAGGAAATCTACTCAGGAATGGGATACAGAGAGGGAATGAGTGCTGAGGAAAGCATTGAAACTGGGGGTACATAGGAATGCCTACCCAGGTCCCCTGCACCCTTTTAAAATATATATATAATGGATTTTTTCCAGAGAGGAAGGGAGAGGAGGCATAGAGAGCTAGAAACATCAATGAGAGAGAAACATCCATCAGCTGCCTCTTGCACACCTCCTACTGGGGATGTGCCCTTGACCATAATCGAACCTGGGACCTTTCAGTCTGCAGGCCGATGCTCTATCCACTGAGCCGAACCGGTTAGGGCCCTGCTTCTCTTCCTATAAGCTGTAGGCAAGTGGGCCAAGATAAACCCAATGAGAATAATAACAGCATACTTTGCACCTGCTATCCTAAGCACTTACAGATATCACTCAGGTAGCCCTCACACCAGCTCTGTGAGGTTGGTGGTATTGTTATCCCATTTCTACAGATGAGGGGACTGAGGCAGAAGGAGCCGGCTGACTTTGCCACGTGTGATTCACCCATGTGTTATGCATGACAAAAATGAGGTAGATGGCGAGAGGAATGCAGCTTATACACAAATACAGGTCATTGTTATGAGCAACAGAATCGTTTTGGGTGAAATATGTCATCCAATAGCAGCGCATTCAGTGACCTGCCACTGACTCATTTGCAGGGAGGATCAGAGAGGCAGGAAGCCAGAAGACAATGCCCAGCAACGGAGAAGGGACCTTTGCCTTATCCCTTCTCAACTCACCTTCTCAATGCACCTTTCCAAGCTGAGGTGGGTTAGAACACTAGCGCCGAAAGCTCTGAGTCTGTGTGGGTCAGGCACAGAGGAAAGTGAAGGCACATTCATTCAGAGGGCTCGCTGAAGGGGGTTCATGGGGTTAACGGTTCAGTTACAGAGGTGTGTGTATTTGGGGGTGGGTGGTAAGAGGAACTGACCAGAGCTGTGAGGTCCCCAGCACCCAACAGCAGCAGGAAGTCCTTTCAGCATTCTTCCCCTGGAGGGGCTTGTCTGTGCTCACTGCCTCCACTCCCTGTGATGAGAGGGGCGGCAGCTGGAGCCCACCCAGCTGGGGCTGTAACTGCGGCCACTGCCACCAACACAGGGAGGCGAGGGGTGAGGATGGGGGGGTGAGGGGGGGCGCACCAGGAAAGTCTCGCTTCACCTTTTTCTCTTCCATCCTCTGTTGTCTTGTCAGGGCTTCCGTTGGCCAAACCCTATCAAAGCCAGAGAGTGAGGCTGCCCTGATGATCAGCCATAAAAGTGGGCTTTCAGCACAAAAGGCAACTTACAGGAAGTGGGAGAGTGGAGAGGACTGTGCCCGGTGCAGGGTCCCTAAACCTGGGTCCTTCTAGGCCTCAGAAGTGAAAACGGACAACTCGAAGACCCCAGCCTCCCCCACCCCCCGCCCCCTCCTGTCCACACGAGGCCCAGGTGCCTTATTCTCTATCTGGAGGGGAGACTGGGGCCCAGCAGGAATGAAGGGTCGTGCTCAAGGCCACACAGCAAGGTAACGGCAGCGCTCAGGGCTGTGGGAGCACTGAGAAGGGACATTTGGGGCAGAATCCCGGTCAGGGGGAGCTTCCCTGGCCCCAGGTTGAGAGTGGGAGAGGCATGTGTAGGGACAGGACAGATATGTATTTAAAGGAATGTATTTAAAGGAATATTTAAAGGAATATTTGAAATATTCCAGTCTGTATTTAAAGGAATAGCGCGCGCGCACACACACACACAAACACACACACACACACAAATATTAAAAGTAGAATGACTTTGGCTCATGCTGTCTCTTTTTTAAATTTTTATTTATTTTGAGAGAGAGAGAGAGAGAGAGAGAGAGAGAGAGAGAGAGAGAGAGAGATTTATTGTTCCACTTATTTATGCATTCGTTGGTTAATTCTTGTATGTGCCCTGACCAGGGTTTGAACCCACAACCTTGGTATATCAAGATGGTACTCTAATCAACTGAGCTACCTGGCCAGGGCCTCATGCTGCCTCTTTTGATGGAAATAGGCAGGGCAAGCAGACTTAAAATGATGAGGTGGGACGGGGGCTGGTGGGGAGAGGGGAGGACTGAGGCTCAGGCAGGCTACGAAAGCTGCTCCGGGTTATGTGTGCAGGAAGTAACATTCTCCAGAGCCCATTCCGGACCCAGCAGACCACTCACAGTCCTGGTGCCGGAAGGAGGGGGGAGGCGGGGGCGGGGGGAGAGAGAGGGGAAGAGGAGAAGAGGAGGCAGTCAAGGCCGCCCCTTCCTGGAGCCATGCTGTTCTACCTCTGCAGTTTGGTGGCTTCCGACGTTCCGAGATAACACATTTTAGATCTTTCCTGTCTCTTTGAACCTCCAACACCCTCATATCCTCACAGGAGACCTCGCTTCAGCCGTTTGGATGACAACACGGAAGCCATCAGATGAGAGCTCCTTTCCTCCCACCATCAGCTCTGCACCTGTGCTCTCCTGGCTCCCAGCTCCTTCCTCCCACCAAGGCCAACCCCTGCCCTCGGCTCTGGGTCAGGGCCCTCTCTCCGCTCAGGGACTTTGCTCCTGATCCCCCTCCACCCGCCCTGGCAAAGCTGATTCTGGTCTCCACTAGGCAGGTTTCTCCAGCAAACCAACGCGCTCTCTGGCTCCCGCTAAAAACTGACAACATGCAACTCCTGGTGAACATCCTCTTTCCAGTCACGGCCCCATTTCCTTCCTTCCCTCCACAGCCAAGCTTTACAACAGGCTTGTCTGTGCTCATTGCCTCTACTCCTCACCCTGTCCTCACTCCTCAGCCCACTCCCGGCTGCCTTCTGACCTCACCCCTCTGCTGAAACTGCCGCCACACCCAGAGCTCACACCTCTTCCTCTTGCTCAACCTCCCTCCGCCTCCCACACAGCGGCCGGCTCCCTGCTTGAAACACTTTCCTCTTTCTTTCCGCTTTGATTCGAAGCCACGTGAATACATCTTCTATTGCTGTAGTAACAAGTTATCCCAAACTTCGCGTCTTTAAAACAATACCCACTTATTCGCACACCCAACATTGCACTCCACACACAGTTCTGCAGGTCAGAAGTCCGGCAGGGGTCTCATTGCTAAAATCCAAGTGTTGGCAGCGCTGAACTGGAGGGCTGTGTCCGGGGTGTCCTTGCCACTGGACCCTGTGGGCCGTGGGGAGCCGTGCTGTCCTGGGTCCGGGACCTTGGCAGACCAAGCCTCCACCTTCAGAATTCTCCTCTGTCCTCTC